TTTGCTTCTCTCGCTCTGTGCGTAAAGTCTGTTTGATTGAGCACTTTTCTCCCCCCCCCCCCTTCTCTGGTGTGCTCAGCACAACCCGACCGCGCTCCTGTTCTCACACACACTTGTCTGCATGCGGCTGTTTGAACTCCACGGGACGCACCCACCCCCCCACCGCCCCACCCCACCGCAACCCTCCCCTCCCCTCCCCGCCCCAGCATCGCTGCCGCCGCGCCTCCTGTTGGATTCCTGAGCATCCTCCGGGTCTGAGGTAAGCGCACGTCCCTCCAAGCGTCCGCAGCATCTGTCAGGCCGAAAACTTATGGACTCGAATGGGACTCCCGAGTGGCAATAAAGGCGGATCGTTATTATGCGGGGCTGCGCTTGAGCTGCAGCTGCAGCAGCAGCAGCAGCCCTGTTGGCACTTAACGCAGTGCATGTTACACTTTCCTCCTGTCCAGTGTCTCGCAGCTGCTGAGCAATCTGAGGCGTTTATTCGCTTGGCAGTTTCACATCGATTGGTCACAGAGGAGCTCGGGTTAAGCGCGTAAAAGTTTCAATTTCGTCTCCAAATGTGCTGCGGAAAAGTATTTAGTGATGACACCAGCACTGTGCGCCGGCGTTATCATGGAGATTTAGGAAGGTTTCCTAAATATATATACACCTATATATGTATATGTGACTGAGATGTGCTCCTGTTTGCAAGTGGGCCGTTCCTCTGTGCTTTCCCGGCAGTTGTAAAACTGGATAGAGTGCACGTCTGTTAGGCTGTCACTGTGTGGCAGTTTACTGCTCCAAGTTTTTGGATGCAGACCAGAATAGATCTGCTGACTAAAGAGCTACAATCTCTGAACTTCAGGGAACTGTAGTGCTCCTTTATGCTGCCCCGCCAGCATGCAGTCCACTGCTATTAGGATGGCAACTTGTAACCCAAGCCCTTCGGGACGATAACCAAGTTAAGAGCATCTCAAATTTTACTCAGCATCTGAGCTTCTGATGATGTTTAGCGGCTGGTGGGGAGCTCTGTCGTTTTGACCAAGGTGGACTTGTGCAGAGTCACACATACTCTTGTTTTGGGGTTTAATAAAGTAGAGTGCCATGTTGATCTGAGCCAGCAGCGATCAGCGTCATCCCACCCAACCTATTCTTTCACATCTCTCTCCTCCAGCTGATGATAAAGAGTCAGATCCCCCCCACCACCAACAACAAAAAGCTCCACCTCGCTTCACTTTACCACTAGTTGTAGAGATGGGGAAAGTCTGGTTTGAGTGGTGACATCAAGGTCTGAATGTGCCTTTCCCCATGCAGTGTCCCCTTCCTTGGAGTGCGACGGTGATGGGTTCCCCATCGACTACGGGTCCAGGGACAACATCATTAGAGCCGATGCCAAAAAGGAGTGCAGGCGCAGGCAGATAAAGAGGGCTGGCAGGTGAGTTGGACCCGTCTGTTGCGTTCAGGACACGCATCATGGACTTTTTATAGACAGACACACAATGGTCTCTGTTCAGTGTCACCAGTACAGGCCAGATGACAGGTTTTCCCCCCCATCTTCATGTGTGTCAGCGGTACAGTAAAGCCCGAGTTGATTTAATGCCTGGCGCAGCTGATGTAACTGGACTGTGTGCTGCAGGCGTGTGTGCAGTCAGGAGCCACTTTCAGACGCTGTGTGGTCAGAATAACATCCGTGTACTTCTGCGGTTGCTGATGTTTCAGCTGCAGCAGCTGGGATCGAGGCCCCGTCAGAGCTGAGGGTGGCAGAGAGAGGCACCAGGCTGAGTTTGGACTGAGCGGCGGCGCAGCCATGCGCTGCTCCACCCTGCTGTTGATCTTCGCCGTGGTGCTCCTTTACTTGGTGATGGGAGCGCTGGTGTTCCGCGCCCTGGAGGCTCCGCTGGAGGAAAAAGAGCATGCGGTGCTGATGGACCAAACCCGGGGTTTCCTGTTCAACAACTCCTGCGTTGACCTGTACGCCCTCCACGACTACATTCAGGTAAAGCTGGACCCGGCGAGGCGGGAACCAGTTGTTCTGTCATTTTATCCCGAAATAACTTTGCGTTTTGAACCTGTTTTTGTACAAATCGTGGGACGTCGCGTCCGTGTCACGACTGCTTCTGTTTCAGTCTTATTTTATTGTTATTTACAGCAGTAGTAATTAGCTTTGTTATCCCTTAAACTCAGTTTTAGGATGTGTTGGGTTTGCATAAAATTCAGTTTTGTTATCTTAAGAAAAATTATACTTATCATCATAAATATTCTCTATTTTAAATAAAAATATATATATATATTTTTTTTTTGTGGCACTGTCAAACTTTTAGCTGTATCTGCCGCTTGCTTAAATCGTCCAACTTAAATACAGCTACATGTGAAATTAATTTGGAATATTTCTTTGCAAAAAAGAATCAGTGAATAAAATGAATTATCAATGCATAAAGGTGTCAGTCAGGAGCAGGATAGAAAAGGTTCCACAGTATTATTTATACAGCATGTGAGTGCAGGTATGGTTGTCTCCCCTGTGTTGACCTGTGATTGACAAACTTCACCACTGGTGATTGGGATTCGTGCGTCACTGTCCTGGAACAATAAGCAGGTGTAATTACAAGCCATAATAAGAAATAATATTTTTTCTCTGGCTGATTACTTCTTTTATTACTACCGGTTCTACTCTTTCATCAATATTAAGGCATTTTTGGCTTTCTTATTTACTTACAAGTTAGGATTTTGTGTTTGTGCAGAGTGGAAAGCAGAAGCTGAGGAGAGATTCTAATTTTTAGCATCACATTGAGTCTAAACATACATTAAATCAACAATAGATGGACCTCACGAGTGAAAGTCCAGCATTTTGGAATGGCCAACTAATACCGAGACATACATTTGATGGTCACCTGAAGAGGATTCCAGACAAAATATGTTTTTTACATATTGCAGATGTTGTTTACTCACTGGAGTACTGCGTCTAGGTGTTATGGCTCTATAGAGACCCATCTCTGTGTAGTGGTGCAGCGTTCCTCCAAAGCTCTATGAGATAACAGGTGGGATCTGAGCAGCTATGTGATGTTGGTTTTGCTGCAGGGTGCGTCTAAGCACAGGAAAGTTGATACACGCATAGGCGGAGAATTTACACTGCTGGTTTGGCCACCGGGTAGTGATCCAAAGATGTCTGTCCTTGCTTCAGAGAGAACATCGTAAATGACTGTTTTAGCTCGCGATGCTATCTATACGTGCAATAGCTGACATTTGCGAAAAGGTTAATGCGACCAAAGAACGAAGGAGAAGTAAGACATTTGTAAAGTATTTTAGAGAGAGGTCAGATGAATAAAGAAGTATGAAGTCTAACAGAAGATGTCCGTGTCTCGAGGGAAATTGAGATATGCCGCACTTTCCCCATTCCCGAAAAAAGCCTTAAGAAAAAAATAACAACAACAAATCATACAATGTGAAATATGATTAGAAAATAAACAATTTTTTCTGGGTTTTTTTTTTTTTACACTGACCATGCATTAACCGTGATGCAGATTACTTTATTTCAAAATATGTTTATATTTAAAATATCAGTACATTGAAAGAAACATAAAATCAAAGTCTAATTATTATTATTATTATTAGCAATTTTATTATAAAGTTGTTCTTCATATGAGCAAACAGTTAAAATAAAGTGCTCTTGGGTTCCCTCTGGTGGCCGCGGTCGGTCAGTGTGAGCTGCTGTGCATTTCAAACCTCCAAAGCACCAGTGGAAGATAAGCAAGCAAAACAATGTCGCAAAAAAAAAAAAAAAAAAAAAAAAAAGAACTTATTGTTCAGGAAGAGAGAAAAAGAGGAAGAATAGAAAAAAAATCAAGGAAAAGCTGTGTTTGCATATCTCTTCAGAAAATCAGCTTGATAACGACCTTGAAAGGTCCAGTTCAATAGGCAAAGATTTATGCCATGTTAGTAGAAGTCACCCTACTTAATTTTTAATTTAACATTTTTACTCTGCTGCTATAATTAGATATACTGACATTATCAAATAATATATAACTAAGTGTGACAAAATAGAATTATTTTATTATCACCATTTCCAACATGCATTCACAGACCATATGAAGAAATCTCGAATAGTTATTCAACAGGACTACGCGGGTAATGACAGCTTACATAAGAACTGCTGTCCTCTTATTTATGGTTTTGTTGGCTGCCCTCGCAGTTATTCCTCAGATGTCGACCCCTGCCCCACGTTGGTATTGTGTGTCAGGTTTCATGTTGGATGCTAAACAACTCTTTGCTTTAGTCAAAGTTTTGCTCTAGTATGTCCTCGGCCTAAAGCCACAAAGTTATAAGTAGAAAATCTTGGAACAGTGAGTGGATGTTAAATGGGTTTGTGTGTCTGGTGAGGCGAAAAGATACTTTTGAACACATCTGCTGCTGTGATTGCAATCAAGACTGTTTTTAATGTTGTGTTTTCCCACAACCAGCCATACCTCATTCATGTGAACTCTTACGAATAGATGGATGTGATAGTTTTGAAGCTGCCCTTGAGGCATTAAACATCACTCCAGGAGATACGATCAAACAGTCACTCTCCGGTGCAATTAAGATCTTCCAACTTATTAGATATGACAGTAAAATCTGTATGACTGCTGAGTGGATATTTTTGTTTGAGTAGGAGCAGAAAGCAATACAGAACATAAATCTTAATTGACAATTAAGATCATTAGAGCTGCTGTTGGTTAGGTTTTTATTGGTGAGCCATTATAGTTCTAGTTTACAGACCTTCTTTATATTAACATTCCATATTTCAAAGCTCCTTTACCTTTCTAAACTCTTGTGCTTTGTCCCTTCTCAGAAAGTGCTTGAGGCTGTAGGTTCAGGAGTGGATGCTGAAGCTGCTATACTCAATAAAACTTTTGCCACGAACTGGGATATGGCCAGTGCTCTTTTTTTCTCAGGAACGATAATGACTACCATTGGTAGGTGTCTGCTGAAGAATGCACCATGTTTTATATAACTGTGTTGACTTAAATAAGCTGCTTCCTCACCTCTGTCATGACATGTACAGGCTACGGAAACATCTCCCCTAAGTCAGATGGAGGGAAGCTCTTTTGCATCTGTTTCGCCCTCGTGGGAATCCCAATGTTCGGCATCCTGCTTGCTGGGGTTGGTGACCATCTCGGTACTGGGCTGAGGAACACTGTTGCCAAAATAGAGAAACTCTTCCTGGTCAGAAGCTCTCAGTATTTAAAACACTTCCTTTCATTTCAAGTTTTTCTTATACTATGTTATCTCACTTTGTTGATAGAAGTGGCGCGTCAGTCCCACTATTGTGCGTGTGATCTCAGCAGTCCTGTCCATCCTGCTGGGTTGCTTGCTTTTTCTTGCTGTACCCACATTGGTTTTTCAAGAAGTGGAAAACTGGTCCCTTCTGGAATCTGCTTACTTTGTGGTTATCACACTGACCACAGTGGGCTTTGGTGACTATGTTGCAGGTAAATAAACAGTTCTGACTTACCTGGCATACCTTACAGTACTCTTAAGTAGTAGGAAACTGGACTTATTCACTTGTTTGTTTGGGTCTTTTGCTTCTTTTTTTCAACATCTCTTCTCTTTCTTTCAACATGCTTTTTTATTTGCCTGCCATTTAAGTAATTAGGACTGTCATGTCTTGGATGACTGAGTCGCTTTCCTAGTGCATTTTCTCCCAAAGCAGCACTTTTCCCCAAAAGATGCTCCAATATGCTTTGATATATGTCTTTAATTTGGCCATTGAACCATTTTTATGGAAATATTAAAGCAACATCACAAGACATGAGCCAGGAAGCTAAAGCATTTCTTCCAGTTAGAAAATTTTCCCATGCATACTGACATTTTTGTTTCAAATTTGGAAGGCAGTCTACAATCCCGACTCTGTTATGCCAGTTCTGTCAAGAAGAATCGGCCAAAATTACAACAAACTACTGTGGAAAGCTTGTAGCATGCCCAAAATCATAAACTCCAATGATATAGTTTGAAGACCTTTCATCCAAATGCTAAGGAGACATATGTAAACTTCTGAATTTGAAGAGAGTTTAAAATTATTCCAAAAGTTTAAAAAAAGGTCTTGTTCATTATTCTGGTATTTGGCAAAAAGAAATGTTAATCCTAACGGTTCTAAAATTGCACATACTTTCTTTGATGTAATGTCAGACTGCAAAGGAACTCAAGTGAACAGAACCGTTTGACCATTTTTGATATGTTTTTGATGATTTTGATGAAATTATTGATCTCTAGACAAGTAGCAATGTGACTTAATTAGTCATCCATAAATACATGTCAGTTACAATGCATTAAGTTCTCTTATGCATAGACAGCACCATTAATTATTCAAATATTTTGTGCGAGGGATGAATTATTGATTACTTTGTCTCCTCATATGGATGGATGGATGGATGGATGGATGGATGGATGGACGGACGGACGGACGGATGGATGGATGGATGGATTGATTGATTTACTTCATTAACATTTGTATACTTTGTATTTATATCAAAGGGGAAGGTGAATTTATGACCCACATAGGAGAGAACCTTTTGCCAGAGTACTGGTATAAGCCTTTGGTGTGGTTTTGGATCCTCCTGGGTCTTGCATACTTTGCTTCCGTCCTGACAATGATCGGTAACTGGCTCCGGGTTCTATCAAAGAAGACCAGGGCTGAGGTACTTCCTTTCTCTGTATTTTTCCTGCTGTCTGTACATCAACATTTATTTTAATGAGGGAAGGTACTATGGTAGATGATGGTGAATGGTTTCAAGTGTTTCTTGGGTCTCTTTCCACCTACTATATGGACTACCATGAGCTACATCAGCTTCAAAGTCTTGAGTGACCATTACCAATATCATTACAAGCGTGTTTTGGCTTTGAAGAGACTGTTATGCATCTAAAGCATAAAATAACTAAAACATAAGGGCTAGTTTTTTAAAAGTAGAGTGTAAAAATGTTGAGATATTTCGTACAGATGTTGTGTTTCTATTTTAGATGGAGGAACTGAGAGCCCATGCCACAGACTGGACCCAGAACATCCAGAACATGTCTGTGGACTTTCGTATTCCAGGAAATTTAGAGGACCCTTTCAAGCGTCGCCGGCGAAAGCGCCGCCATCGCAGCCATGGTCACAGTCACAGTCACGGTCACAACCAGTCGGCCAACGGAGCACCAGGAGAAAAACAAGAGCAAAACCAGAGTCAGACCGAATCTGGATCTTACTCTTCTTCCTATTCGTCTTCTGAATCAGAATCCGGATCAGAATCAGAAACAGACTCTCAGGCCACGCAGACCGACCGGGTTCCAGCAATGGAGGCTCCTCCAGACCGTGTCCAGCCGCAGCCTCTGGACTACTTGGCGGAGAACCTTGCCTTCATTGATGAGTCCTCGGACGCTCAGAGTGGCAAAGTACAACTAGAATCGGAAAAAGAATCAAAACAACCCAACTCCCGTCAGGCAAAGAGGAGACGCCATAGGCGGCCGACCAATAGAAGAAGCTCTAAAACCAACTACTCCAACAATAATAAAAGGCAACCCAATGGAAACACAACACCTGTCCCAGAACTTCCAAAAAAGCCTCTGGACTGAGAGCACTAACACCTCATGAGACCCTACCCACTGCTGACAGTGGAGGTCTCAGTCCAGCAGTTCCTTTCTGTGTAAATGCTGCCTATATACTGTCAGTTAAAATTAAGACAATGCTGATGCCTTATAAACCTTCGTGTGGTTTGCCATATAACTTTTCTCTTTGCATGTGAGTGCATATGCAGCAAATGAAAAGATTTAAGATGCCATAGGTTCTACGACTTTGTGAGGAGCTACTGCTCTCTACTGGCCTAAAATGGTGTTGCACTTATCACCACTGTGTCAAAATGAAACTTTTTTTTTTCATAATCCGGGTACCGCAACCAGACTTGTGATGTCAGAAACTTGATGCAGCAGTGTGAAACTCAATTTAAAGAAATGTTGCTGTTACCTGAGTGCATTATCCTTGAATCCTGCCAACAATCAAACAGGTTTACTTTTTGATAGTATCGAGTTTGTAAAAAATAATATGCATAGCCATCCATTTGCATTTTTGATGGTCAGATTCATCAGTGCTACTATTCTGCATAAGTGCATTAAAGAACTTTTCAAAAAGAAATTGTTGTTGTACTGTTCTATTTCTCAGACTTCCACCAAAACCCTTACACATTCTGCTTGATACAAAAAAAACTAAACAAAAATAAAAAAAAAACAATGACAATTTTTTCCAAAAAAACAGAGCCTTGCATAAGAGTTGATACACCTTTACATTTTTACTCATTTATCCCTTGTTTACACTTCCTGGTGCTTATCTCCAATGGTCTTCTGCCTGTTCGTTGTGAGAGCAATAATATCGAGGCCCAATTTGTTGTTTGTGCACATCTTGGTCAGTAAATCTGATTCTGATTCTGACTGCAAGGAGCATGTCAACTCACACCAGGCCAAATACTACTGATACACAATGGCTTTAAAAGAGACTTTAAAAATAGGAGAAAAATTTGTCTTGAACATTTAAAAGGCAACGTAATCCACAGTTTGAGAGAGCACAACAGGAAAACCTTCATCTCCACCAAGGTTCGACCTAGCTTTTGTGGCAACTGAAAGCAAATTAAATGTGCTCTCGTCTGGGTACAAATTAAGACAGGATCATTTTAAACAAGCCGCAGATGTGAAAAAGATTGTTGACTGACACCAGCGTGAAGTTCGTTGCAGTTGTCGAGACATGTTGGGATTGAGGTGCCTATTATTTTCTCCAAGTCATGCCTGAACAAAGTGTTTGTCAGAACTTGAAGAAACTTTATTTTTTGATCAGCAGAGCGGATCTGTTTATTAAATTTAAAATCGGAGTCCATAATTACTCCCAAATGTGATACATCCAATTTGATGTACTCAAGCCAACCAAAATTACAAACCGAGTTACATGAAGTACTATTAAATCAAACTTAATTTCCAACAAGATCTGAAATGACTGTTTACAGAAGCTTTCCTAAAGTCAGTCTGGCAAATTATGTTTCTTGAGACAGTCGTTGCCACTTAACACATTTTAGCTGTGGTTAAGGAAAATGTCCAGAATTCACCTTAGCAAATTTGACTTGCACAATTGCAAACAAACTGAAGTTATTTTGCAACAGAGAGAGATGCTGTGTTTAGAAGTGCAAAGTTGTTACAGACATAGCTTTAAAGTCTTGAAGCTGTAATTTCAGCAACCATATATTACACGGCTTCCACTTTATACAAATATATGGTACCTTGTCCTTGTCTATCATAAATTCCCATAAAATGATGTTGGAATTTTTCCAGTTTCCAATCCAGTCCAGCCTTTTAAAAGCACTTTAAAATATAATACAGGACCAAATGCCATACATAATAAAATGAACTAAAATATATTAAAAGTATTAGACAGGAGAGGATCCAGAAGAAAAAAACGATAATGGCATGTCATGTTTTCTAGAGTGAACAGTAATCTCACTTTTCAAATTAAAATATATATATTTTTTGTCAATGTTAATAGGTTTGGTCAGACTGTATTATGACCTCTATAGTTTCTGAAATGGGTTGGAATATTTTAAACATTGCAAAACTTTTTAACATTTCAAGACCAGGTCAGGAATATGGTGCCAAATTTCAAAAGAGGACATTCTATCCCGTGGAGGTACAGTGTGATACTCCTGCAGTCGTCTGCTCAGCCGTTTTAACCTGCATTGATGCTTTTCAGGTGATCCCAGTAAGTGATACTCTGCTGGAAACTCTAGCTTTAGTCAGTCTGAAACCGGCACGGCAGAAAAAATGCTGCCGTGGCTGCAGATCTCTTATCTATTAGTTATTTTCAATTAGAAAAACAGCGAGATGCTTGTCAAAACCGTTTTACACAATTGCTTGTTGAAGACAAAAACTGCTGACTTTTATGTTAAGGCAACCAGCAGATGGCAGGCAAGATGCAGGAACACATTTAATACCTTTTTGGAGCTGGAGGGAAATTTTAATCTACTTCCTAATTGTGGATTTGCATCAATTTTCATTATTCGGCATGGGGCTATTTTTAATTATCCTACCTTTCCATCTGGCTTCAGGTTTACCAAATAAAAACATAAAGCCAAAGAACCACATAATAACGTATCCCTTGGAAATCTGAGACCGCTCTGAAGGACGTTGCTAAAAGAAAAGGAAACGTTTGGGGAGTGCAACCAAGGAATTCAGGAAGCAGAGATGATGTACACAGGCAGTGGGTGACCTTTTACTGGAGGACACACTCTCAGCTGCTATAACGTCATCCACCGCAGCCTCCATCTGCTGCCACTAGAGGACGAATGGTGGGCAGTGTCTGAAGTGCTGAAGCACACTCCTGACCTGAATTCAATGGGAAAATCCGTACCCAATTTAGATCCAAATATGGTGTCTCTACAGTGCTGCACATAATACAAGATAGAAACCGCAGCCTTTTTGATACAATAACATAAATCCAGGGTTCCCATGGTGAGGACTTCTTTTTTTTTTAGTAATGACACAATACTGATCTAGAACGAGACATCTGTGCCACAAAGAAGTTAGTTATTTTGCCAACGCAGCACTCCCTTGACTTGAGGACATGATTTCTGATACTGGTTCAGAAAAACAATGGTAGACCTTGACCTTATGGGTAATTATTACAACTTAACCTATGCAATCTGAATACAGTAAGTAAAATTTACACACAAAAAAGCATGTTCATCTTGCACTACCTTTTTGGTGACCCAGGTTTGCTCTGGCTTCTCATTTCTGGCCATCAGTCAAGACCAACTTTCTTTAGCGATCAAACAAACTGTCGAACCCTACTCGGTTAAATGTAAGTACATTTTCTTTTGGTAGATTTGAACCGATGCTTCTGCGAAGTTTAAAAGTTAAACCAACCAGCTTCTAAAACCAACTTAATTACAAGATCATTTGGCACATTTGGCTCATCAAAGGCAAACACTAACAATGGCTTTGTGATGAAAGCACACAATTTCACTAAAATACTGCGAAAACTTTTTAAATATACCTTGTCAAGGTGAACTGTCAACATTTTTCTTGGCAAACACAGTTAAGATTCGCTTCTCATCACAACGATAATCTGAGGCTTTAAGAAACCGAACTCACTAGTGTGTTAAGAGTTTTAGCTGGATGCAAACTTAAATTCTCTCCCTAACACAGAAACTTGCTCAATAGCAAATCTTGTGATGGGTTCTTAACTTTATTGACTTGATAATACCCTAAAAGCTTAGGTACCAGACAACCAAAACACTTTCAGGCAACAACAGGGACATTTTGTACCAACCATATGTCATTTTTTAAAACCAGCTTCGATGACTGTTTTCTGTAAACAGTTGCGGTTTTATGACCATAATAAGTAATAATAGCCTCCAACAGGGATGTGCTTAGTTACTTTAGTTTCAGCTGGCAGTCATAATCTGTCGTGTGTCAGTTAATGGGAAGAAGGCAAAAGAAATATCAAGAGAAGAATTGGTAATTTTATGAAAATACTTGTAGGTTTGAAGACCTTTACTACGCACTTCTTCAGGTGGGAAATGGTGCCGGCGGCCTTGAAATGCTTTGTACTGGACATCTGGACATTTCCTCCTTGTCTAGTGAACACATGGTTCCTTTCTGCCTGCGTAAATCTTGACATTTAGCACTTTACGACAGAAATACATAACTTTAAATTTAAAAGCTAATTTAAATTCATTTGAAATATCACTATTGTTGAAATATCATTATTGTTATTCTTTACTTTTCGCTATAATCATTCATACCATGTCATATGGGAAGTGAAATAATGAAATAAGTCACAATGGTAGATATGAATTTCTGGAGTCATATAATAACATTCTGAGTGCACAGACGGTTGAAGTGAAAACATGGCAGACAACATCTAATAAGAGCAAGATAAGAAATTATCAAAGCTATAAACACATGATGAACCACATTGAATGGCAACACGAAGGTACAAATGGGGATACGAACTGGTGGAAGGGCAAATTGACTTCAAGCCAAATTTCACCATCTTTGAGCACTAGAGACTGTGCATTATCAAAATGCATTTCTATTTATTAGCTTATATCTAATACACTCCACATTTTTTATATAGTGTAATGATTTGAATAAGTAGGTTGTTTGGTGTAAAGGTGAACACTGTTTTGTGTAATCTATGACTCACTGATACTGCGCCTTACTTGCTTGTGCACTACAGGCACAATGGCTCCTTGGTATTTATAAACCATATGAGCCTACACCTGTCTGAGGTCATGACCCCGCGCTAAGGAGCCCCCTTGAGACCCCAGCTGGCATCCATCAAGCGTTCCTCACGCGCGGACCATAAAGTCCTTCTCCACCATAGGATACAAGCCGCACTGAAGCAGTAAATCATAAAATAAAATAAAAACTCCTTAAAACACGCGTGTAAAGCTGGATGCGCCGTGAATTCTTCAGCGTGACGGCGTTCTCGTCCGGGGGTAATGCCGACTCTGCAGCGGCAGAAGGCTGTGATGCAGCCCCGCAGAGTTGCAGCGTCTGCAGCGCCGAGAGTGAGTGACCTTGCTCAAGGTCGCGCTGACAGCACCGGGAGTTTTTCCCTCTAGTGAGTCGCGAGCCCGGCCCGCCACGCGCATGTGACCGCATGGAAGATCCAACAGCTCCCGACGCACAGCGCGCGCGCGAAAGAGAGGGGGTTGGTGCTGGGGGGCTGGGAGCGAGCGTGACCGCGTCGGTTCCGACCACGCAGGCGAACAGGGACCGTGCTATATTTAGAAGCAGATAATGGTGGAGTGTCAAGAGTGGAGGGGTAGCTATATGCACGGACCCAACTCCCGGTTTGAACGGTATTACATTTATTTCCAGCCGTACTTTAAGAACGCTGAAGGTTAAACGCCCTCTTTTTGGGGAACTTTACTCTTCTTCAGTCAGACTGGAGTCCAGCTGCAATGGGATGCGGATGTTCCACAAAGTTTGAACAGAAAACAAAAACAAACAAACAACAAAACAAAACGAAATCACAGTGCGAAAGAGCATCCCTGTTGTATTTCCCAGTGTTCTCCAGCTTAACCCGGTTTCAGTGAACTTATGAACCATTCTTCACTGGACTCCGTCCAGGAGAGTGCTGCTGCCTCCTGTCAGTACCATAAGACCAGCAGCATGACTACATTTTCCATAGTGGTGTCCCGCAAGAGATGCAGCTCAGGCTCTCTGCAACACTTTTATCTCAAAAAATAACCTAATAAAACATCTGCAAGCAGTTATATAAACAAAACATAAACACACGTAATCTGCCAAAGATTAAAAATATGCATATACATATTTGTAAATCCGTAATCCTAACTGGAGTGGGGTGTTTCATGAGCTGACACTACAAGTACTGACTGGTAAGTAACTCCGAATTAGTTACCGGGGCAACGTGACGGCGGAAGCTGAACGGATTGAATTTATTTTATTTTGGGGTTGCAGACCCTTATTTAAACGCCGGTGATGACGGTGGTGGAGGTGTCGACGGACGTAACGGAGAAACGGCGGACGCAAACTGAGGCAGAGGGAGGAGAGAAGAGCACGAGACCGAGGCTGCGTCATCAGCTCGTCAAGCTGGCACGAGGAGCGGCGGAAGTCCGGCAGCGGAGCTCGAGAAGTAAAACGACGTTTTTCTTGCTGTATTTAGTCGGGTGCAGACGGCTTTAAGTTTTTGGAAACATTCTGACACACTGACGTGGGGCTGAACATTTCCTAACGTTGCTCGTAGCCTCGAAGCGTCGACTGCTCCGAGAGAAGCGGTCGCCGACCGTTATTGTTGCTAACAGTTTATCGTCACATTTGTTTTATTGTTGCTAACTCTTACCGGAAGTTCTCCGTTTCCCCCTCCGTGTCTTGACGTTCACATTGAGACAGCCTGGTTGTAGAAGCCCAAACGGGAATTGATAACGCCAGTGTCCAGGAGCGAACAGCCGGGTGGAGGGGTTCGGAGTTGTTGCTGGTTGTCGCCTCATCACGCGGAGAAACGGCTTAAAGGTGACGTGATGTGAACAAAGGGAGTGCGCGCGCGCCATCGGAGCAGTCCAGCAGACTTCCCAGCGTTAAAGACTTGAGACCGAATAGGATCAACGCGATGCTTCTCCATCCACCAGTAAGTATACCATGTAGACTTCCAGCGCCACACATTATTGATGTGTTTTTTCCTCAGTGGTGCACGACTCGCCTGGCAGAGCTCTAAGTTCGGGTTATTGGGCCAAGGGGCACAATTCGCTGAATAAGTAGTTGTACAAATTGTGTAATAATTTGCGGCACGCGCTTCCTGTCTGTCTGTCTGTCTTACAATCCCCTCATGTGATCACCTCCATGCTAATTCAAGCATTTGTCCCGTCAGTCTGTCTCATGGTTAATCGTCCCCCCCACCACCCCATAGCTCCCATCAAAACACTTTACGAATCTGCGAAATGATCGTATGAATGAGCACACACACATACAGTAAGCGAAGAATGCAGAGACTTGGCTTGGTTTTGTGCTGTGGTTATTTCTGTCCTTCTGTTTCCACTGCAGCTCCTCACTAATGACACAAATCGTGAATATTCATAACATCCAGCAGTTCCAGAACTGTATATGTTTACCATAATAATATATATCGAGTTATTCATCTCGATTGCAGTGCATTGAACTATGTAAGTCACCGTGCCTGCTGGACCAAGATTGGGATCAGTGATCTGAAGGCATAATCCACTTTGGCAATTAACCTTTCGCCAGTCCAAGATCAGTAGGCAAGGTCACCACTGGGGTGCCGCTCCGGCTCCACAGAGCGCCACATTTGAAAGCCTCAAACTGAGTTGAATGTGCAGTCTGTGTGATGCACTGACAGGGACACCCCCCCACTGTCTATAACTCCAACCATAACAAAACTGCCATTTAACACTTTGCAAGTTTCTAATAACAATGGAAGAAGTACTGTTTGATTTAGTTGAGGGTGAGAAACTAAATCTATTCTGTCCTTTTTTTTTTTTTAATGGAAGTGATCATTTTACTTTTCAAAATGAACAAGAACACATTCTCTCTTTGTTTCTCAGGCTAAAATTCACCCTATCTAAATTAATTTCGGTAAAGATTTACCGAGAGACGTAACCAAACTTCTGCCTGGACGACTTCAGATGAATGAGGGACAAGGTGTTGGCTTTACTCTGTCTGTCCTTCAAGCATTCCTGTGACTGTGACCTTTGGAGTGTGTCATGCAGCATTCAAGGGGGAGGGTAGAGTGAAGATTTCTGCATAGACACACTGGGTGTATTTATATTTAAAAAGAAAGTTGTTTTGTTGCTAGTATACGCAGGTTTTTGGATTGAGAAACCAAGACTACTGATAGAACGTATGGATTAAGATAAGAAAATTATTATGTTACAACAGTTCTGAATAATCATACCACATTTTTATTTATTTATTTTTTAACATTATTGACAGCAATAATTTTACTAAAAATATTTCTAAATAGTCAAATTTTTCTTTCTGATTAAGTGTGGGAAAGTTTTGGTGGGCTTTTTTCAGCCAACTGACCAGCAGTGTACACAACAAGTTTGGGAGGGGTGACATTACACGGCTGTAAACCGTTGATTTAAACCTCAAAAACTCTATGACAAATCCAACTTAAATAGTTTTAAAACTAGGATAACATTTTGAAAATCTTGGTATATTTTGTGACTAGAAACTGACCAACATTAACTTGATGTATCAATTGGTAAGCCTTTTGTAAGTTGTGAAAAAATGAAAAGTTAATTTAATGTTTGTTTGGTTTTTTAAATAGCTATTTTCTTGCTTTGTGGGAAACTCGAAGCTCTTTGCTTACTTTGCAGATGTCCTGATAACTACAGACCTGCAGCAAGAACAAGCCAGCGATCTGCCAAACAGGAGTGAGCAATATATAGGTTTCAAGCTCCAGTTCACAAAACAGGTAAGCTGCCCCCACATTACCTTTTATGTTGATGAAATATTTGTCCATAAATCTATGCTGCAATAAGGATTATAGAAGTCTGGGTGAGTCACCGCTCTTCACTCCCGCAATGGACCTTCGACTGACATTGTTAACGTCTTTTTTCAAAAAGTAGTCACTCGAGCTAAAGACGGAAGAGAAATGAGCAAAGTATGAAGAGTAGAAGAAGTTGGGTTTGAATGTCAAATCAAAAATCACTTTAAGCAGCATGCAGGTCGAATAATTTGTGGAATATTGTATCGCTGTCAAGCACTTTTGCAGTCATTAAAGCCACAAAATAGATCTTTCTTTTAGGCTTTTGCTTCAAAGTTTATGATATAAACTGTATAGAATGGTATTTGATTCCCCTGCTGATTAAAAAAACAAGTCAAGTGATGATTAAATATCAGCTTGTGAGGGAGAGGACAGTCCTTCGTCTAAGATTAGTCCAAGTAGCAAATAAAAAAGGAAAAATAACAATAAAATATCTGCTTGAAAAAATTGTTTTCAAGTAGTAATGTTTAAGATAAACATTATTACTTGCCACAATTCAATAGTACAGTTGAATCATGGTCATTTCACCCATCCCCATAACGTACATTTCTCTTGGGTGGTTCGTACTGTTCTGGTACAAAATAAAGAATCTTTTTCTTTTCTTTTTTTTAACTTGCTTCAACAGCTTCAGATTTAAGATACTTCCAAATTATATAATAGTAATCTTCTGTGCAAAGAAGTGGTTATGTTACTTCAATGATTAATATCTGTCAGCAGGAGGCCATTCATAATCATTTTTGTTTAGATCAGTAATCACAATCTCTCATAATTTTATAACTAAGAGATCAAAATTTGGTGGAACTACGATTTAATATAAATCTTCAGAAAATGATCTTCAGCTAAGTTAAATTATGTTATAGATTTTGGATTATTTGTTTAAAAAAAAACAAAGACTACAAGATATGCAACTGAACAGAACCCTGCTTATAATTGGAATTAGAATATTTCTGCAATATCATAACTTTTGCTTTAGTCCCAACATCAGAAGAGAGTCTTAACCAGAGTTAACTGCTTTGGAAAGACATCAACTTCAGGTGTAAAACCAGTTTCTTGTCAGCTCCCAGAGCTGCTCCTGGATCTAATGTGTTTAGCCCCAGCAGATCCATTCTGATCACAGCAGCTGTTACAGAATGCGGCCCATGTGCACACGCAGCCGACACAAGCTAGCAGAGGCTTGGCGCTCTGCTCTCAGATTCTCCTGTCCAGCCATGAGGCCCCACCGTGGACATAGCTAACCGTTAAGCACTGTAGTGGCCGCGGCTGCACGGTAAGACGCCGACTTGTCCCGGGCAGAGTGACAAAAATAAACCGCAGTGGGAGAGAAGGAAGCCGGCCAGTCAGGATTAACACCAGCTAGCCAGCTTAGTTAGCTAAGGCTAGCTAACCTACAGCTGTCATCCTAATGTTGACGCTAGCTAATGCTAATGCTACACCTAAAGTGCCTGCAGGGGTTTATGTCGCCGCAACGCACGTTTTTCTATGTCGGGTGAAGTTATTAAGACATAATTTATGCCCGTGTATAACTTGACACGAATTTAATTATGTTTTAATTAATCTATGTATTTCATTTCTTCAATGTTTTCTGCCAAAGCATATGTCGAGGTGGTACATGGTTGATGAATTGATTTACTTAATCATGTGGATTTTTGCACAAGGTCTGCTGGCGTTAACTAAGGGATTCACTCTGCTGCATAACTCAGTCCAACTAAGCTAAACTTTAAACAGGCTGGGTTTGCTGTGACCCCCTTTCTGCTTGCCAAACAGACCTCTCACAACCTGAGAGGGCAAACTCCAAGAAACGTGTGCCAGCACTTGTGGGTTTGTAATATCCACTTTATCAAAGCAAACTTGCTTTGAGATGATTGTTTTAGCACCAACTGAAATCCTCTCCTCCTCTGCTTAGAGATTGACTCAGTTTTCCTAATGTCTTTGCGTCACTGGCAGCTTCTCTAATTTTTCCTTCCTTAAGCAAGTCTCAAGTTTGCTCGTCTGGTATTGAACAGCCCTGATCACCTTCACAACAGCAGATTATGCCTGGGTAATAAATGAAAAAGTATTCAGCGGATTAGGAACAGCAGTGTGTTATCAGGACTGTGTTTGTGCAAAGGAGTGCAGAACACCGGGGTCACACTAAATAAATGCATGGAGAGATGTGAGTCATATCAGACTCTAAATGTTGTCAGTAGATGCCGGTGCGTAATGGACCTCTTTTGCAAGCAGTTGGGGCAGTTTAAACATGATAACAGAGTAAAGGCTTAATGCAATGTGATAACAAACTAGACTTTTCTGTGAACCCATTATTATTTTAGTTTAGTTTAGATGTTAGCATTGCGGGTTTCTACCCAAACTGTTGTTGTTGGGTTGTTCTTGTCAGCTAAATGAATTTGGAGATTTGCAACTCTTCATAAATTTGTCGGCTGTCATGTGCTCATCTGGAAATAACTGATGGTTGGGGGTTCAAACAGGAGTGAGCAATATTCAAAAGTGACATTCAAGTCTTAACTGGATTTAAGTTATTTAGGCTGCACAGATACTGTTGAGCTCATCTCATTTATTGGGAACAAGAACGTCGTCAGTCATCATCAGTGATCTGAAGCCTCTAGGCAGAAGAGGTACAGATTGGCGTCTGATAAATTAGTGCATTAATAACCTGGCTTGTGTTTTTATTTTCATATATATGTATTTAAAATGTCTATTTCAGAGAGTTTGGACTTCTTTTAGGCTTATTTGCGAAAGACTTCAGAACTAATTTACTGGAAGCTGAATTACATTTTAAAAGCACAAGTTCATGTTGGGTTTCCATTTTGCAAAAATATCTGGATTTTATACTCAATCTTAGATTCTCCATAGTACACATTTGGTCACTATTTTGAATGAATTAAAAATTAATCAAGGCTGTGTAAAGTATTTTACTTTTTGGCTACTTAGAGGTGTGCTTTGTTATCTTTCCTCTTAATTTTCTGTTTTAAATTTGGGGTTTGCACACAACCTTGGTCCCAGTCGCAGGTTACTGCAGCACCCTTACCGCATTACTCCAACATAAGTCATATCTCTGGATCTGAAGGAGGAGTGGCCAGTGTTTATGAGCACAGTGACCTTCATTCTGTCACCTTGGCTGTTTTAACGACCAGAGACATGGCCGACACACTTCACACCGCGGGGATCATCCGAGGTCTCTAGAGTTTCATCTCAAAGTGTTAAATGCAACATTTTGATCGGCAGGTAAAAATAATAAGCAAGGAAGAAAGAGCTCCAAGGTGTCATGTTAGATTTAGGCAGGTTGAGCACCACAGTTTGTGTCGAGAGTTTTTTTTTTTAACCTGCAGTCTTCTTCTTTACCATGACGTTGTTTACTGTCAACTCCTGCCGCCTCTATGATACGAGGTCAAACCTTAAACCCGGGTGATGTAAACGCTCGACTATATGGAGTTGAGGTTGGCTGTAATTGACTGAGCTCTAGCAGAGATGAAGTTTTCAGCCAGTTTATTTAGCTTTTTCAGCAAGGAGATCATTTTTGGATCATTTGTGTTGTGTTTGCTGTGGTTTATTCAATTTTGGATATGGCATTGCTTTTATGTTAGAAATAATAAAAAAAAAACACTGTATTTATTGTATTAATAACTGAGTTGTTCAGTGTCAACATTCTCATGTTATAAGCTGGTGCTCCAGAAGCACATTTCAAAATGTTAAATGGCTTTGATTATAATTTTTAAGATGGAAAAAAACACGTTGGGTATGTCCCAGTTTGAGAGTTTTGCAGGAAAAATCAGCATTTTTATTCCCACTAATTCTCTCCTTGGATTTTCATAGTTCAGAGTGACGTTAGCCTAGATCTTCCATCTTTTTTTTTTTTTATAAGAACACATATTTTCCGTCATTTGTTCTTTTATCTGAGGAAAATGGTGAGGAGCTTCTTGGTCTGTGAGAGGATGAAGTTGCACTATATTTTAGCAAAATGGTCTCAAAACGACAACACTGGTTTATCGCAATCATTTCTTTGACAGTTTATCATGACAGGCGTAGAACTTGGTTTCTCTGGCAACAAGGATTTTAAACCACAGGAAGCGATGGATGTGTTAATTGCGTCCACACCTGGAGCTCAACTACTAGGTATTTAAATAGCTCAAAGTTGTTTTTGGTAAAAGATAAACTTCCTACTTAAGTTCAGTCAGCTTTAACGCTCTTTAAAGCGGTTTAGCGTGCTCTGCACCTGTATTTACTTTGGCCTTTCTTTGTTTTTGCTCCGTCAGGCATCATGTCTTCCCGGGAGCGCCGCTCTGAGGTCTACATAAAGGCGGAGCCGAGCAGCCCGGAGGGAGGCGGTGGAGGCCGGACCAGCCCCGGCGGGGTCTCCTCTGACTCCTCTCAGAGCGGCGGCGGTGGCACCAGAGGAGACGGCGCCAAGCGCTACTCGCCGCCGCTGTACACGCCGGCCCTGCGCTGCCATTTTAAAGACGAGCCTGGCGACGGGGCGGAGGAGGGCTCCACCGGAAACGGAGCGGGGCGCTGCAAGTACGCCCTGAGCACGCTTCCCAAGAGGCTGTGTCTGGTGTGCGGGGACGTGGCTTCAGGTTATCATTACGGCGTGGCGTCATGCGAGGCCTGCAAGGCCTTCTTCAAGAGAACCATTCAAGGTGCGTGTGTTTTGGTGAACAATTTCATGTTGGCATAACACACCGACTATGTCACCTTTAAATGCGTTTATTACTCAGTGATTATGTTTAGTAGCTGATACTGATCTAAAGAAAGAATCAGTGATGAAGATTACATCTATTTAACTTCTGTTTTCTCTCGTTAAGGTAACATTGAATACAGCTGCCCTGCATCAAATGAGTGTGAAATCACCAAAAGGCGGAGGAAAGCCTGCCAGGCATGCCGCTTTACTAAGTGCCTCAAAGTAGGCATGCTGAAAGAGGGTAAGTCCCATACTGACTCATTTTCAGCTTTTTGGGTTTTGCACCGTACATTAATTGCTGATTGATTGGCTTTGTTCTGAGCTGTTTTAAGTGTTTCTTTTCATTTTTAGGAGTACGTCTTGACAGAGTCAGAGGTGGAAGGCAGAAATACAAAAGACGCCCAGAGGTGGAGAACGCAACATATCAGAGCGCCCCTCTATCTCTGACGAAAGAGAGCGAAAAAGGTGAAATCTATTCTCCATATATTTTTTTTTTTCTTTTCACTTTTTGAGTTAAAATATTTTTTTTTTTTGGTGCAAATAAGAACAAAACTTTTTCATTTGGACCTGATTCTTTTCTAAAATACTAATGAGCCCAATCAGAAATAAAGTGTTTAAGTTGTGATATTTATGGAAACACTTCATGCATGTATAACACTATGTGTAATGAAAATGGTATATTTCATTTATACCATAAAGCAGTGTTTATATGACACATTAAGTTAGCCATAATCCAATAGATTATTATAAGAAACATATTTAAAGGGGTACAATTTTTTTGTCTCGTTTGGCTGCAATTTCTCCTAAAAAATGCAAAATGTTTAAAATTTAAATAGTTTAAAAAATAGAAGCCACACACAAAGGCACATTTTAGTAGAACATTTGCAGAAATCTTTTCCTTTTACTTTCCTTTGTTCTTGTGAATTGGTTAAAACATTCATTTAGACTACAAACGGCGCCCTCTACTGCTAACAAAGCCTCATTGAACTCCTTATGGTTCACACAAGCCGCATTAAAAGTTAACAAACCCTTCAGCTTTTGCTGTTAAGCTAATCTAGCTGCTCCATTATCAGAAGAACAAATCTGGGTATAAATTAGTTATATAACCTGAATATAACAGGTTAAACCATTTGCTTTGTGTTGTCATGCAGGTTCCTCCAACATCATCGTGTCCCACCTTCTAGTGGCAGAGCCCGAAAAGTTATTTGCCATGCCGGACCCTCTGCAGCCTGACACGGCCCAGCGGACCCTCACCACCCTCTGTGACCTCGCCGACCGCGAGCTGGTTGTGATCATCGGCTGGGCCAAGCACATTCCTGGTAAGAGACGGTGACAGAGATAAGAAGTGGCGCTAAAGGCATCTGTAGCATAGTAGCAATGTAAGAGATTAAGAAGATCTGATCCCACTGTATAGTAACAAGGCTTTGTAAGGCGGTTGGGTCATGCGGCTTCAGTATTCATTAAAGGAGCCGTTTATGACTGTGCTCACCTTTGAGCAGGAACAGTGGCTCCTCTGCCGCAGCGCCTGCGCTGACACACTTCCTTGTCATTTAAAAGAATTGCATGGTTATTATTATTACCTGCAAGTGTGGATTTACAAATACAGATTTTTCTTTCCCCCTCCACCAACTAAAAATCTGTTGTTGTGCTACCTTTAGCACGCTTCTGCTCAGAGGGTATCACTTCATCATTCACAGCAGCATCTGCTGTGTGCATTTTGTATAATTATCTCTGAAACATGGATGAAATGAGATTCTGGAGGCATCAATGAGTACAAATCTTTTGATGTCCTGTTTTTGTTTTCTTCCTGAAAAAGTCACATCTCAATAAGAATTTTTTTAATCACTCAAGAGATTCATATGATATATTCAGCCCAATCGGATGCTCCTAGGACAGAGGTGGGCAACTCCAGGCCTCGAGGGCCAGTGTCCTGAAACTTTTAGATGCATCTCTACTTCAACACACCTGAGTCAAATAATGAGGTCATTAGCAGGACTCTGGAGAAATTGACTGCACGTAGGAAGTGATTCCGCTATTTGATTCAGCTGTGTTGAACCAGGGAGACATCTAAGAGCTGCAGGACACCGGCCCTCGAGGCCTGGAATTGCCCAGCCTTGTCCTAGGACATCTGACAAACTTTGAATATTTACTTATTTTTGCTGTTTTTCTCCTTTTCCCGTACCAATAATTCATAAGAACTTCCAAAAGTATTCACACTCCATATGGGTTTTAGAATACTTTTAAAAAGAATGTGGGCGATTTGTATTCGGTCCCCTTTATTTTTATACGCCAAGTAGAAAGGAAGCCATGTATAGATGACCCAAAACATAGAGCCACAGCTGCAATAGAATGGTTTGAGCTAAACCAATCAGGCAGTCATTTGTTAAGATGTTATTTGTTTGTCATGTAGAGTCAGATGAGCAGCTCCCTCCACCAATAATGTATGAACCTACCATGTTCTTCTCATACAAACCTTGTGCCTCCTGCAGGCTTCCTGTCTCTGTCTCTAGCAGACCAGATGTCCGTGCTGCAGTCGGTGTGGCTGGAGGTGCTGGTTCTGGGCGTAGCGTACCGCTCCATCGGCTGTGAGGACGAGGTGGTCTTCGCTGAGGACTTTGTCCTCGATGAGGAAATGTCGCGCGTTGCCGGACTGACGGAGCTGAACGCGGCCATTAGCCAGCTCGCGCGCCGTTTCCGTGCGCTAAATGTGGACCGAGAGGAGTTTGTCATGCTAAAAGCCATCGCTCTCACAAACTCGGGTACTTGCATTTTAATTTGTATGCACTAACCTCATTCAGCCTCATGATCTGTCAATTAACTGTGTTCAACACCTCTGTTTATTTACTTTTAAATCTTCTCATAGATTGACTGAATGTCTAAGATGTACATAATAAACCATAAAAGTCCATTAGATGTTTTATTAAGGTGAACTAACAAAATAGGTGTCTGTTATCTGTGTTTCGAAAACGGCTGATTCAGCGACGTCCTATTATGTTGGGCCTGAGTTTTAACATAAGATAAACTATTAGAAGTGATTGTCATATCTCATCCACACTTATGCAGTTTCTTCTGCAACAGATTGTTTGCATTGTACCTACAAAACAAGTGTGAGTTGATAGTAATTGTCTAGAAAGAAAACCAATTTAAAGCGGTTGTGTTACTCACCATTCACCGAGTTTTACAGAATAATTATGCAGCCAACAGAGAGAGCTTCCTCGTAGCTGCAGGTGTGCTCTGGCAACACTGGCTGAATGAATTTAAGAGGACACATTCGCTTCTATTTATACTTTAAAGCGAAGGGGGGAGACATCCAAGGACAGTGTAGCTACATTAACAACGGTGGGAGAAGTTGTAGGAAAGTCTGCAGTCAGAGCTGCTGCTTAAAAACGCAGATTTAAAGAGTCAGCGATAAGAGCAAACGTCAGAGAAGAATACGTCGGTACAATCTGCATATCCTTGTTTCGTTCAACTGGAACAAAAAGCTAAACTAATCTACGTTGTTTCTGTCAGACTCTGTTTACATCGAGGACATGGAGGCTGTGCAGAAGCTCCGGGACCTCCTCCACCAGGCCTTGCTGGAGCTGGAGTGTCAGCGGCGCCCGGACGACCCCCAGCGGGCGGGACGCCTCCTTTTAACGTTGCCGCTCCTCCGACAGACTGCCGGCCGCGCGCTCACCACCTTCTACAGCATCAAGACCCGCGGCGGTGTTCCCATGCACAAACTATTTCTGGAGATGCTGGAAGCCATGATGGACTCCCCTTAGAGTGTGGAACAAAAAAAAAACAACCAACAACAGAGCTGGTCTACAGGGCTAGACAAGTGTTTTTTTTTTTTTTTTTTAAAGAAAAAAAACAAAAAGGAAAGTTTTTATTAGAGAACTATGGAGGGATTTATGCTTCTCATTTTAAGCAAGGAAAGTGTAAGAAAATAAACTATTCACATTTTTTAGACGGATTTTGCTTTTTACACCACGCGGTACCTGCCAAGCTCCAGTTTAAAAAAAAAAAAAAAAATGCAAGTGAAACAGCGTAATATTTGAACTACATCATGGAAGGCTTTTTGTTTTTTTTATGGCATCAAGCTACGAGTACTTTACCACTTCACCTTTAGGTACACAACGGACTGCAATCTGTGTAGCTTTTGAACATAATGCTACATCTGCACATAAAAGCCATATTGAGACATCTAGTATGAGGCTTGAGGGTCCATTGAGGTGGCGGGCAGGAGTTGTAGGCAAACCCATAGGACTGACTTGCAATATTTATTTTTTAAAAGATTTTATTGGCTCTGGTGGCCTTTATTTGAGAGAGGGAAGTGGGTATTGAGAGAGGGGGGAAGAAATGCTGGAGTCGAACCTGCGGCGGCCGTGTCGTGGACTGAGGCCTCCTTGCCATGGGTTGTGCGCTACCCCTGCGCCACCGCAGCATCCCCTACTTGCAATATCTTAAAAGCAATATCATCCATGACTTTCAAAATACAAAACAACAAGAAGCTCGTTAGTATTTGTATCAGTTTTTCTGCATACTTTTTTTTTGGACCCCAAGTGCTTATTATTATTTTTTAATTCTATTCTCTTGTATTCTAGGAATGCAGGATGTATGTGTGGAAAACAGAAAAGACTACAACTTTTTTTTTTTTTGTTTTTAAAATAAGATGGTTATTTAACATCAAGCCACTGAGAAGTTCCACATGGATTCTAAAAGTTATGCGGCACGTCGGAGGATCCATAAAATTTTGTCCTAGCAGCAAAAACCTGGCTTCCAGCAGCACGCGTGTCTGTGGTCGCGTGTAGCAGAGAACAAACGAGATCAGGGAAGAACACAACTTTTATTTATTTAAAATTTTTTTTTTTTTACATTAAGGTTTTGGTGGCAGCGATAGCGACTGGATTAGCAATGGATCCACCTCACTTTGCTTGTTTTTATAACGCCCTCCATCCTACGCTCTCACCTTCCTCGTCCACTACAACCACACTTTGACCTCTGCAGCTGTGTGTCTAAAAGAAAAAAAAACACTTCTTTCATATTTGGGCTATATGTAACACTAATACATGACTGCTAATGTGCGCGGTGAGATTTCGATGCATTTTTCTGCAGTGACGACGAACATTGCATAAAAGATCTCGAATGTTTCGGTTTGAGATCCTTCGTCCTCCTCTTCCTCCTCTTCCTGTGGATGCACACGGTGAACTTGAACCCCGCGCCCTGGATCGGTGCTCAGGGCTACGAGACGTTCAGCTTATGCAACATCTTTCTTTTAGATGTTGGAAACCTTGTCTGGTCAACGTGTCGAAGGTCCTGCTCTTGATTAGAATTATTTGTATAGTCACAGTGTAAATGATCATTTAGGTAAGCAAAAAAGAAATCTGATGTTTAAGAAAAAAAAAGAACGATAACCAGATCCCTATAAATAGAGACCAAAACGGTCAGTACTCTTTTAGCTATGTACAGTTCCATTTAAATAAACAAACATGCAATTTGTAGTGGAAGCTAAATAATAAAAAAAAAAAAGAAAGCCAGCAGATGTAATACTAATTCCCCCCATTACAATATTTGTGCAGCTTACTATGTGCTGATGTTTGTAAAATCTTAAAACTTAGTTTTCATATAGTTTCCCTCTTAGGATACAAGGGTACTTGCATTGTGACTCTGCTGTGGGGTTTGAAATTTTCATGCGGGCTGTCATCAATGTTCCTTTTATTTTTTGTGGGGAGGGCGGGAGCATTGGTTGTTAGTTTAGGGATCAATTTTAAATGGCACTATGAATTCAGTGGCATAGTAAGGTTACAGAAGGCTACCTCAGGAGGCAGCATCAGCCACACGGCCAACCAACTGTGGACGAAACGAACAAGTTGCATAATGGATTTAGCGAATTCGTCGAGCCTGAGTTAGTTTCATTTTTGCTTTTTAAGATGCATCCGACTCAATAATCCTGCTTGAATAGTTGGTGCAGCTGCAAAACTACACTAGCAACATCAGATATCTGGCAGAATGTGACTCAGATTAGCTGTTATCTGAGGTTTTTTTTGTTATTTTAATTTTATCTCTTGATTTTTTTTTTTTTTTTTGTTTTGTTACCAAGCAGTTCTTTATTGCAAAGATGGAGTCGTTCTGTTTATATGTCTGTGTGTTTTCGGTACAAAGGGTTTCGGGGGGGTCGGATTGATCGCTTGTGGTGTCGCTGTTCAAATTATACCGTCATTTATAGGTTCTATTACTAATGTGCACATTAATATAAATGAGCAATACAACAAATTACCAAACCTCACACATTTCCTTGTATAGCCATCATGTACATTTAACATTGCCAGTTATAACTATTAAATAAATAAAAAGGAAAAACAAGTTAATGTTATCTTATTTAGAAAATTCAAATCAATGTTTGTATTCTGAAAGAGTATTTAAATGATTAAATTCTATTTTTTACTCAATTTACTGTCGTTTGTTGACACTGCTTTAATTTTGTGTGTGATACCGGCTGTAAATTTCTGTGTGTAGGCTTTTTTTTTTTCTAGGTAAACAGTTTGATGTCCTTGTCTAAACCTGTTCACATTAAACTCACTGTGAGAAAAAAAGAAGAAAAAAACAAAACAGACCTTCCACTGTCTGACACAGCAGGGAGTGGATTATTGTAGGTGCTTTGTGTTGTGCAATAAATGGACACACCACCACCACACACCATTGGACTCATATCTCTGTGGATGTGTTTATCTATGCGTGTTGTTTTTTTTTTTTTTTTTTTTTTTGCCATTCTCATACAACGCCCTGAGTGTTCACGCAGCTAGCGAGCAGCTAATCCTTTTAAAGTAAATCAGCCCATTCATTTAGATCAATTTGGCTTTGGTTGGCGTCCATCTGTTTTTCCTCTCACCTCTAAGCAGACCTGTCCACGTCCTGTGACAGTGTTGGAACCCTGTTGAACTAAATGCTCTTTGTTAGCTTAGCATAATTAATCAGTGTGCTACGGCTTGTGTTTTGAGAAGAGCTGGGAAAGGAATCATACAGTGGCTTATCCAGTCAGACCCTTTGAACCCTTTCACGTTTTGTCACAGTTGATGATGCTTTGCAAAGCGGCAAAAGCTCAGCCAGATTGGATGGAGAGTGCTTTGACCTTCAAGTCTCGCCGCAGACTCTCAATTGGATTTAGGTTTGAACTTTGAGCCACTTACTGTTCCACTGTCTCTCAGGCTGAATGCTTGGAAGGTGAACCTGTGCTCCAGCCTCCAGCATGCTTTCTGTTTTTAGCTGCGTTCATCACCTTACCATCACCTCTGACCGCTTTCCCTGTCGCCAAGTAAAACCTCCATATAGCATGATGCTACCACCACGTTTCACAGTAATGGTTCTCTGTTTAGGATGATAGGTGAATTTTGGTCTCAGCTGACCAGAGCACATTTCAACTTGATTTCTATGTTCACTTCTGTGATTATTGGGAACTGTAGAGCTTAATGTTCCTTCTTCCACTGTTCCATATAGGCCAGTTTTGTGGCGTGCATGGCGAGTGGTTTTCTGGAGATGCCCACACCTGAGCTGGGAATCTCTGCAGCTCCTCCAGAGTAAAGCTGACTTCAATTTGCATAGACTAAGTAGCTATATATGTTGGTCACACTGCATTTTATTTAGGGGTATCAGTGTGAAAAGGAAAAAATGTCCATGTATTATTTTCCTTCCATTTCACATAAACACCACCTTGTGTTGGGTTTTCCCAAGTTACTGGTTTACAACATGACAAAATGTGATAAGGTTCAAGAGGTTTAAAATATTTTTAATACAGACATAATTACCCTGCTTTAACAAAGGGCCACGTTCCCTTCAGCAGACTGTAGCTAAGGGACAATTAGCTCTACAAACAAACCTGCATTAGCATCGCCATTAGGCTAATGGCTGCTGCTAGCAGATGGCGCTGTGTTGCAGATTTAGCAGGCCCGAACCTGAACGATAGGTAAAGCTTTCTCTCGGACAAACTCTGCGTGGGACACGCCCACGGGCATTTGCTGTGACTGTAAATAACATAGAGTGGCAGTAAAATCCGTCTGACGTGGGCCCTGAACGCACCCTGCTAAATACGCCAGTCGTGACGCAGTCCTCGACGCTAGGAGCCTCGGTTAGCTGCGCGGCTAACAGCGTAGCCGTTATGTTTCCCATGTCTCTTCTTAAACCCACCCAAGTCCTTCGTTGCGTCAGACTGCTGCACTGCTCTCAAGTCACCAAGATGCCGATTAAGGTAACGAACTTTCAGATAGCGTTAGCTTTGATGAAACGAACGCCCTTTGACCTTTAGCAAACGGCATAACAGGTATCTTAAGGGCACCTAAGATAACGATCGTGTTAAATACTTATTTACGTTGTTTTGGGGGCCATGATAGCCGAAAAGCGTATACTGTTCGTTAGCTGTCATTTAGCAGGAAGTTATACTCGAAGCTACCAACTGAAACCTAACATTTGGTAATAAATGGCCTCTTTAGTTAATGCTACTTCTTTGTTACTATTTTGGAAATCGTTTTACTTATTAAAAGATATTCCTGGAACACAACAGAAGGGATTTATTCACATATAAGTCTTTTTGATTTGTCAGTAAGTGTGGTGATTTGTCTCCATCTAGTGGCCTTTAATCGGTATTGCCTATTTTGGAAAAACCAAAATTTCTGTCAGTAAAGATATTTTATCTCGCCATTGAAACAAGGTTTAAAAGACAAAAAGCTACTTATTATTCCATGTCAGATTCCGTGCAGTTTATGTATTTAGTCTAGGTCGTACAGATTTAATATAGTTTCTATTATACAGAGTCCAATTGGGTCCAAATTGAGTTCACTTCATTCTAATACTCTGAAATAGTCAAATGCAGATCCGTCTTCCTTTGAGTTCAGATTCATCTGTGCTCCATAAATAGATTTATTTGAAAGCTGGGAAATAAAAAGATGTTTTTTGTTTTTTTTTAACAAACCAAAATGTAAAAAATAGCTTAAATTGAAAAAGAAACACTACCAGCTGGTATTGGAAACAAATAAAGTGAATATTTTAAAAGATCGGCATTGCTCTAGCTCAATTTTTAGTCATCTTTCGTGTCCTGGTCTCTGTCAGGTTGGTGAAGCTCTTCCTGCGGTGGAGGTCCAGGAAGGTGAACCAGGAAATAAAGTATCCATGGATCAGCTGTTTAAGGGGAAGAAAGGAGTTCTCTTTGCCGTACCCGGAGCCTTTACCCCCGGCTGCTCTAAGGTGAGGTCAGATTTGCCGTTGACCCTCACCCTGTCCTCCACACACCAACCTTTTCATCAGCCGACCTCATTCTTCCTCTGCTGCTTGCAGACTCACCTTCCAGGCTTCGTGCAGCAAGCCCAGGAGTTGAGAAGTAAAGGTATACAGGAAGTGGCATGCATTTCTGTCAATGATGCATTTGTCATGGCTGCATGGGGAAAGGAGCATGGAACAGATGGAAAGGTACATGTCGGATAGAAATATGCAAAATGTATGCTTCTAGTGTGGAGAAGTGTTTATTTGTTTTCTTTTTTTTTTCTCTCTGTAGGTTAGAATGCTGGCTGATCCCACTGGTGCATTTGCAAAGGTAAAAATAAATGCCCCCTATATGCCAGTCTAGTTCAAAGTCTTTGTACTCATCAGCACTTCCTGTTTGTGCTCATTAGGCGGTCGACCTGCTGCTTGACAATGACACGATCGTCCAGGTACTGGGCAACAAACGCTCCAAGAGGTAAGCATTGTTATAGCTGTGACTGTTATTTTAATTTCACAATTGCCGTTTAATTGAGTTCCGAATGTTTATGGACTTAAGGTTTCTTTATATTGTCTTAATAAGGTTGTGTGCCCTTTACCGTTGTTTCAGTTTTTTTCTTACATTTTCTAATAAATCGTGATCCAATGAAGTTGTTAAATTGGACCCAAAGCGACAAATCGAATCAATCAAACCGCTGAATTAGGAATTTAAAGAAAGTCAACAAAGTGTGGTTTAAAAGAAATCTGATGTATACTCTTCACTTGACAACTACACGATGTATAAAGGTATTAACATAGCTAATTGCAAAACATTTAAAATGTTTGTTTTTGTGAATGTATCAAAATAAATCTGGAAATCTGATTGACTTCAACATCTTAAGTTGTTGAAACCGTAAATGTGGTTGTTTCCAGAGATGGCTATTTACTTGCGGTACAGATTACGATCTAAAATCCTTGGCATTCTGAATTATCTGCTTCAGATACGCAATGGTGGTGGAAGACGGCGTGGTGAAGAAGATCAACGTGGAGCCGGACGGCACCGGGCTGACCTGCAGCCTCTCCTCCAGCGTTCTGGCTGACCTGTAGGCCGCGGCAGCAGCTTATTAAGGGTAGCTCCTCTCCCTCAGCTGCTCTGAAAGTTGTACTAACAAAGCTCGCCTCCTGCCAACTGGACCTTGCCTCTCTCCCCAAAGATAGTTGCAAACGCTGGACACAAGTGTCAGGCGGAAGGTGATTAATGCGCACAATTTTGACTTGAAGAGCATTTCCTAGCACAGCCCATTAGTCTTTGCATAGTCCAACTTGAAAGTTAATAAACTTAATTCTTTTCCTCATTGTGTGTTTTGTTTATTATTCCTTTCCATTGAGAAAAGTGAATTTCTCTTAATTTTATATTTAAAACCCTACACCTGCTTCAAACATCCCACTTTCAGTTCCAGAGAGCTTTCAGGCATTTCTTCATATGCAAAACAAATTCATTCTGATTTGTTTGGAAACTCTAAACCGGTGTGGGATAGTCTGCAATAAAAACTGAGCCTCCTGAAAGTGGTCACTTTAGCATTCTGCAGAGTTAATGTCAAGAGAAAGAAAGTATTCATCTTTTACCTTTAGACTCTGCTCAGCGTTCCAGTGACTGTTTTTTCTGTAAAACGGAATTGTCTGGTGAACAATTCTGTTGTTAATGCAGATGCAAAACCCACAAAAGATGGAACTGCTTTAGTTATTGATCCACTTTCTTCTTTGTGGAATATAATTTGTGCCTTTTTGTATTATGAAGTTTGAATTAGCCTGAATTAGTAAAAGCCATTGTGGAAGGCTTTGACAAGCCAGTTGTGGTTCCAGAGTGGAATTAATGTCAAAGCAAATGTATTTTTACATGATTTCAATTTACTGACTAATTCATACATGAAGGGACTGAATCCTTTCGGAGACATGCATAGACCCAAAGGAGCCCCATTTGTTACCAACATGGCAAAAAAAAGGAATTTTCTACAAAGAAATATATAAATATGAAATGAGTAATGGTGATGCCGTAGACAGATGTATGGGACATAAACATTGCACGATGCAGAGAAACATTGCTTTATAAGGTTCTGTCTTTCCTGTGTCTCCAAGAATGCTGCAGTAAAGGGGAAAACAAAACAAAAACGCAAAGCACTTCCATCAGGCCATTAATCAACCAACTCTTTATTTTGATTTGGCTGTAATTAAAAAAAAAAAGACAATTCATAATGTATCTGTAAGCTCAAAATCAACAATACATCTCCATGTTAATGACGACCGTAGGTCGAAGTCGTGTTAAAAGCCTTACTGTTTTAATGTCTTGCGCCTGCCAGGTCAAGCGCAGGGCGAACAGTTCCCCTCAAAGTAATGACGTGTGGCGCGGGCGCAGTGCATTGTGGGTGCCGGTGGAAACAGAAACCAAATAGCCGCTCAATTACGGTTTCGTTTATTTTGAACTGGACGCTGAAAGGTACGTTTTTCACGCTGCCCCGTTCCGTGGCCGTGAATTTACTGCGGGAATCGCAGAGCCGCAGGTTACAGTGAGCCGCGAAGAGAAGGAAAACGAGCTGAGAAAGAAAACGAGCTGAGAAACGTTGTTGTTGTTTTAGCCTTAAGGCGCCTTCAATTCGAGCTACATCATGTCTCAGTAGCGCTAATTTCAAACCCGGAGCTTCCTCGGAGACCGTTTTGAAATGGATTGCGCACCTTTTGGAAGTGACTCGCCCCCCACAGTCCACATGGGCTGCAGTATTTCTGGGTCAGAGGTTTTCCTAGCGGCGCGTGAAGCTAGCAGTGAACCTCCGGTCATTGTGACTCAGTGTTGGCGTCGCGCGCCCATTTCACGGCTGTCTCCGGAGCGCGAGCTTTCCGACAGATACACGAGAGATTTCCCACTGTGATCCGACTCGGTTCCTTATTATGGGTCAGGAACGAACACTGCTTTCATTACGCGAAGCTCGCAGTGAACTCTGCCCTTAATTTGCTGTACAACGCGTGATTAGAAAGGACAATCAAAACAATCCTGATATCGATTAAGCTTTGATTACTGTTTAGTCACCACGTGTCCATCTGTTGAATGGAGTTGAATACATTTGTGTTGCATAGTTGGAATAATTTGGTGAAAAGAAAAATAAAATATTGTTGACCAAAAAAAAAAAAAAGCAGTTAAAAAGGCAGATTTTTTTTTTCAAAAATAAAAATGATGTAATTTTCTATTCCCTGAATCACTTTGTGATCCTTCATGTTGCAGCTCAGCCCTTGGATCTTTGACACAGCCATGTCTTCAACATCCCAGAAACATAAAGAGTTCGTGGCTGAGCCCATGGGGGAGAAACCTGTGATGGCTCTGGCCGGCATCGGAGAGGTCCTGGGGGGAAAGCTGGAGGAGAAGGGCTTTGATAAGGTGCGACTTTTATCCTTTTGGACATTTTGAAGAAAGAAAAATTGCATACATTTCATATCGCAGTCTATGAAGTGAACATAATTGATAAAGGGTCAGAGGTCAGCGACCTGCTTTGTTTGAGGTCTGACTTGCCTGCCTGGATTTTGACTGATTAAATAATGTATTGCTAGTGCTGCATCATAAAATAGAGGCAGTTTCAATTGACAAGAAAGGAATATAGTTTTTTTAATAAAGCATATAACCCTACGCTTTATGTGGCTTTTGACAAAAAAGTAAATAAAACAAACCACTGAGTTAAGATAAGAGGAAAATAAAGATGACTACAAGCTCCTGGTTTGTTTTGCATATAAACGCAGAACCTAATTACAGTTTCATTACAGTTTCAGTTTTGTTGGTTCTGATCCATTTTACTGAATTTCCTGGGTAGTGACAAACTAGTTTAGGTGTGAAAGAGAACAAGTCTTGTCTTTCATTTTCTGTTTGATACAATGTTGGTAAAACGCCAGCTGGCCTTGCCTTTCCGCTGCCACATTTAACAATCTGCTAACACTACAGCAGAGACGAAGAGGAATGGCAGCCAGGGCAGCTTTTGGAAGTTCAGCAGCTTAACGACATGTTGCTCTCAAGGTTTGTTGCAGTTTTATTCATCAATAATGTCCTATTCTTCTTCTTCTTCTGCTAGGCCTACGTTGTTCTTGGGCAGTTCCTCGTTCTGAAGAAAGATGAGGAGCTTTTCCGGGACTGGCTCAAAGATACGTGTGGCGCAAACGCCAAGCAGCAGCGCGACTGCTTCGGCTGTCTTAAGGAATGGTGCGATGCCTTCCTATAAGCCCCGTTACCAATCATGTCGTTTTTCTAACTTGTGAAGTCTGAAATGTACATTACCTCTTCAGCAGTCAGTTCAGTCACAAGTATTCAGTAGTTTTCACAAAATAAGTAAAGTGACATGCGCTTTTTTTAAATGCCACTCATTCAGATTAGAGCTCCTTATGTCATTACTTTTCTCATTGAGCTTGGAAGCCATGCAATAATGGCAGCTTGCAATGTCTACTCACTGGTAATTTCCTTATTATGCAAAACTAATGGATACATTTGAGTTGTAAAGCGCAGAACACCAACTTTTTCTCCTTTTGCTTGCGGGCTACTAATGAGTCAGGTTGCATCTGTGCTAGTTATGCCCCAGCTAGGGCCTTTTAAATGTTCTCACAACTGTTTTATAATTATCTGAATAAAAGATCTGTTCATGAATGTCGACCTTTAGCCTGATCACTTGGCTCTGATATCCCCAAATGTAAATTCAATTCATAACATGCCGCTTTACGCTTTATATTCTCGCATCTAAGAGCAAACACAAAAAAAGGGGTTAGGGTTCATTTTGCCTCTACTGTTCAGAAAACTATCTCTACCCACCTCCAATTCTCAGCATACTCGCTCCATTTTCTTAGCAACGTTGTGCTGTAATCCACTAGACTGCGTCGTGTTTGAAGGGTTTGGCGGAGGATGTAGCATTTGGCTGAGAATAAAACTGATTCTTCTTATTGTAGTAATGTAGAAAATACTTGTAGAAGCTGCTGTTCCTGGAAATGAAGGAACATCACCATCAGACTACACCGGATATGCTTTAAGGTCTCTGGAGCTGAAGATGGGGAATGTACATGTTTAAAGACGCCAGTGCAACAAGCCTAGATACTGTTGAGCTGTAAGCTACGTTACCAGACTTCTAAATAAAGTGTGTTGCTGTGCTTTCAAGTGATTATTCACATCCACTTTTACCTTTCATCTGTATATGAAATTATCAGATGCCTTAAAGCATGCTGTTGTATTAAAATCTGATAACGCTCTCGTTCTACCTAATCTGTATCATGAGCAGCTTTGACCGTAGTCACTGCGGTTCCTCCGTTAAAAAAACAAAACACTGGCCCGTGTGTTTTCATCCGAACTGTGAAAACTTCAGCTTTTCTATTGTGTTTATTATAAAACAATAAACTGCATGTGTCACATTCAAGCATATCTGTCGTTTTATGTTCACTTTAAAAAAGAAAAAATCACAAGAGTTTAATCTTTGATGACAAGAAGTTTTATTTCAGTGCTTCATTTTCCAGGATAAGATTTTCCGCCACATTTTTAAATTTTTTTTTTCCCCTTTCCAGATTTGATGTTTGCAAAGTACCGACAATGCAAGGGGGATGGTCACAAAATTCCAGATGCCAGAGATAATTTTGGTTTTTTTTTACACAGGGATTTGAAACACAAGTAGCCTGTTAAATGAACACCATTGAAAACACTTTGGAAGAGGCGGGCTCTCTGCACAGGAACTTTTCTCTCTCGTCTAGATGGCCACACACGCCTGTCTGCAAGAGTACGTCGTAACTGCCGTAGCTATTTTGTGCTCTAAGGAAATAGAAAATGATTCATACACAACAAATTTAATGTAGTAGCTTATTTTCGCTTCTTTGAGTTCACGTCAAATGTCCTTAATTAATCACTGGAATGAGCTGTAATAGGGTCAGTGTGCTATCGAACTATAAAATCTCCAATTTACAGAGCTCAAATACTTGGACTTGTTGCTTAGCTTTCACAGTAGCAACTAGCCTTGCACGCAGCCACACACGCGCGCGCGTGGTTCAACATCCACGCCACGGCGATACTATAAATAAGCATGACGTTAAGTCTTGACAAAACTGATAAATTATATGCTGATGTTCATAAACAGCTGTTGTCTTTAACTGGTACAAGTAACTGCCAAAAATACCAAAACACGTAGCTTGAACCTTCTGGTAGAAAAAGCTCAATATCATCAGCATACATAAGAAACCACTAAAGAAAAAATTAATGTTTAGGGGTTAAATGTCAAACTTCACCTATAATTTCTGAACATATAGCACCACGGAAAGCTATAAGCTGAATTATGACGTATTCAAAACTAATATTGGATGAATATTTTGCCCATTTTAGCAGTTACTTGTAGCTTCTTCGAGCATGAGATGTACGTGTTTGAAATCAGATGACAGCTTAGAATCTATAGCATCTTCATTAATGAGGCGTTCGCATTTTTGGCTCAAATCCTCCTCCCCCCCCCCCCCCCCCTTTGCAGAAATTTGCCAGATTCAAGAAATTTAGATCAAGACACATCGTAGATGATCCTTAACTGTACATTGGCAGCTTTTTTTTTGTTTTATGCGAGGCTACTATAGTACACCGACGTCTTGTTTGAGTTGGATGTACACGTACGCGCTTGCACATACATGTACATACCGTACATGTACTTTGAATCAATAACAATCCCTGATTTGTCTCAAAGCAGAGCACAGAAGAATTTCTTCTCCCTGAAAGGGTTTTCTGAGGTGGGCACCGGGGTGATCAAGGGGTCATCGCAGGCGTGCGCGTCGCAGTACGCCATCAGGTCGGCCGCCGCCTTCGATACCTGCAGACGAAGACGATCGGCACATTGTTAGAACTGGTTTCTTTGTGGTTGTAAAGAAAAAAAAAGTCAGTTCACTTGTTGACTGAAAGACGAGCAGGAATGGGTGTGACATCGCCAGAAGTGGTTTCCGTCTACGGTTGGAATGTGCTTGTGGACAGATAAGAGTTAAGGAAGGTGCTCGAGGGAACGAAGACGCGGAAACCAGGTTATCGAGCTAAAAAGAAGAGATTCCCAACCCTTTAGATGACAGATTAAAATGACATGACGTAAGGTTGTTTTTCTTGTATCAGGAAAGCAACAATCCATCATCAGTCAGCACAGACTGCTCGCTCAGGCACATGTGGCACGTTCGTTTTGTGTCGGAACAGATTCCTGAAGCAAAGACTAAAGATAAGTTTAGGACAAACAAATGACAGCTGGCTAAGTGACAATTATCTAAGGCTAGCTAGTAGGACAAATAAAAAGAGACAAGACACCTCCACTTATCCACATGATCTTTACCCTTGAACCATTTTAGTTCCTCCATTAAAGGGGGAACGAAAATGTTCCCCCTTTAATGGAAAATTTTTTTCATTTGTTTTTCTAATGTTCCACTAAGCTTCTTTTGTCTGGTTTATGTTAACGGGAATGTTGGGTAGCTGTGAAGAATTCCCGTCATACATTTTGTAATCCCCGAACTACTTGCTCACGTTGCTAGATGTCGGCGTATTGCTCTGGGATTTTATTTGACAAGCCGACACAAGGTTCTGCGTAATCGGTGAAGTGGCAGGGAAAGGAAATGCCATTTTTACATATTTTTACAGCTAAAAATCTGTGCAACGCATAATTGTATTCCGTACCGAGACACCTGTAGCTCAGTCAGACTATTTAGAGATCGCTTGGAAAAGCAGCTTTCAATTCTTTTCAGGGATTCTCCAACACAGACAGGTGGGTTTGAGTCATCTGTAACTCTGGCTTTATGTTCAACCCTATTAGAGCCCATCGCTGACCCTAACAGGTTTGACTCTAACCAGATTTCCGGCTCATTCTGGAGTAAAGCGTCACGTTTCATGGGGATGAGTTAGTTTTCTGTCATGTTTTGCACGTAGGCCAAAAAGATCACTTCAATTTCATCTCACCTTCTTCAACATGTCTCCAACACACGGACTTTGGCTTGTGGCAAAGGGGGTTTCTCATAACAATGACTTTCTTCCCAATCTCAATAAAAAAACAAACTAATAGTTTCAAGGTTTCAAGAGGTTTGAGCATTTCTGCAGAGCTCTGCTAAGATAAGGCCTCTTGTCTCTGAGCTTCAGCAGGGACGGTTCTCCGTCTAATTCCCTCGACTTCTTTCCCCGAGCTCTGCTTTTTCTTTTTCAACCATCTTGCGGTCGCCTACTGTTGGGGGAAAATGTACTCATCTGTCCGTCTCCATCCGAGGTTCCCCACGCGTCATTGCACACATTGTGTGTATGGTCCTAATAATAACTCGGAATGATGAAAAGCACTGAGTCCGGAGCCCCATTCTGCCGGCATCCTTGGGTTTTTGTGCTGGATATATATATATATATATATAAAAAAATATAAAATTCCCTTCTCACCCACCGCGGGTGGTTCTTATCCTCTGAGCTCGGGTCCTCTACCAGAGGCCTGGGAGCTTGAGGGTCCTGCGCAGTATCTTGGCTGTGCCAAGGACTGCACATTTCTGGACTGAGATGTCTGATGTTGTTCCTGGGATCTGTTGTAGCCACTGCTCCAGTTTGGGGGTTACTGCCCCGAGGGCCCCGATGACCACAGGCACCACTGTGGTCTTCACCTTCCAGGCCCTCTCCAGTTCTTCCCTGAGGCCCTGGTATTTCTCTAGTTTCTCGTGCTCCTTTTTCCTGATGTTGCAATCACTTGGTATTGCTACATCTACCACAACGGCTTTCCTCTGATGTTTATCCACTACGACAATGTCTGGTTGGTTCGCCATTACCATTTTGTCTGTCTGGATCTGGAAGTCCCACAGGATCTTAGCTCTGGCGTTCTCCACCACCTTTGGGGGTGTTTCCCACTTTGATCTCGGGGTTTCCAGTCCATATTCTGCACAGATGTTTCTGTACACAATGCCTGCCACTTGGTTATGTCGCTCCATGTACGCTTTCCCTGCCAGTATCTTGCACCCTGCTGTGATGTGCTGGACTGTCTCAGGGGCCTCCTTGCACAACCTACACCTTGGGTCTTGTCTGGTGTGGTAGATCTGGGCCTCTATTGCTCTGGTGTTTAGGGCCTGTTCCTGGGCGGCCAGGATGAGGGCCTCTGTGCTGTCCTTGAGTCCAGCTTTTTCCAGCCATTGGTAGGATTTACTTATATCAGCCACTTGGGTTATTTGCTGGTGGTACATCCCATGTAGGGTTTTGTCCTCCCATGATGGTATCTCTGGCACCTCAACCTCCGTTCCCTGTTGTCTGAGACATTCACTGAGCACATTGTCTGTTGAGGCTTTGTCCCTGATGTATTTATGGATCTTAGTTGTTTCGTCCTGGACAGTGGTTCTCACACTCACTAGTCCTCTGCCTCCTTCCTTGCGGCTCGTGTACAGTCTCAGGGTGCTGGATTTGGGATGGAACCCTCCATGCATTGTTAGTAGCTTTCTGGTCTTAATATCTGTGGCTTTTCTCCTCCTTTGGCCAGCTAATTATTCCAGCAGGGTATCTGATTACTGGCAAGGCATAGCTGTTTATCGCACGGATTTTGTTCTTGCCATTGAGCTGGCTTCTCAGGACTTGCCTTATTCGTTGGAGGTATTTAGCTGTGGCTCCTTTCCTTGTGACCTCATCGAGGTTGCCATTTGCTTGTGGTATACCTAGGTACTTGTAACTGTCCTCTATGTCTGCTATTGTTCCTTCTGGGAGTGAGACCCCTTCTGTGTGGATGACCTTCCCCCTCTTTGTGACCAGCCGACCACATTTCTCTAGTCCGAATGACATCCCAATGTCAGTGCTGTAGATCCTGGTGGTGTGGATCAGTGAGTCGATGTCTCGCTCACACTTGGCGTACAGCTTGATGTCATCCATGTAGAGTAGGTGACTGATATTGGCCCTTTTTGAGTCTGTATCCGTAGCCAGTCTTGTTGATAACTTGGCTGAGGGGGTTCAGGCCTATGCAGAACAGTAGCGGGGACAGAGCATCTCCTTGGTATATGCCACATTTGATGGACACTTGTGCAAGTGGTTTGCAGTTGGCTTCAAGGGTGGTTTTCCACAGCCTCATCGAGTTTGCAATGAAGGCTCTCAGAGTCCTGTTGATGTTATACATCTCTAAGCATTCAATGATCCAAGTATGCGGCATTGAGTCATAGGCTTTCTTGTAATCAATCCAAGCCATGCACAGGTTCGTGTGTCGGGTTTTGCAGTCTCGGGCAACTGTGCGGTCTACGAGGAGTTGGTGTTTGGCTCCTCTGCTATTTACACCGATACCCTTCTGTGCCGTGCTCATGTGTTTATCCATGTGTTTGCTTATCTTGGCCGCTATGATGCCTGACATGAGCTTCCAGGTTGTGGAGAGGCAGGTTATTGGTCGGTAGTTGGGTGGGACTGGACCCTTTGATGGATCCTTCTGGATTAGGATTGTCCGCCCTTCAGTTAACCATTCAGGGTGAGTCCCACTTTGTAGCAGCTGGTTCATTTGGGCTGCCATTCGCTCATGGAGAGCAGTGAGTTTCTTTAGCCAGTAGGCATGGATCATGTCAGGCCCTGGTGCTGTCCAGTTTTTCATACCTGAGACTCTTTCTTGGACATCTGTCACAGTGATGGTTACCGGGGCTTGCTCAGGGAGGTTGCTGTGGTCCTCTCGTAGAGAGATCAGCCACTGTGCATTGCTGTTGTGGGACGCCTCCCTTTCCCATATGCCTTTCCAGTATTGTTCCGTCTCCAGCCTTGGTGGGTCTGCTCTGTTGTTATTGTTACCCTGCCATTGAGAGTACACCTTAGCTGGTTGAGTGGAGAAGAGCCGGTTAATCCTTCTGGATTCATTCTCCCTTGTGTATCTCTTTAGGCGGCTGGACAAGGCTTGGAGCCTCTGTTTGGCAGTCTCGAGTGCTTCAGGTATGGGCATCTGCCTGTACTTTCTGGGTACTGGTCTTTTCATTGCACCCTTGTGGAGCTCTGACAGTTGGCTCACTTCCCTCCTTGTTACCTTGATTTAGCCTCTAACCGTCTTTTCCATGGTGGGTATTGGGTCTCATGGTTGCTCTTATAGCCAAGTATCTCAAGGATCACTGATGCTGAGTTGTAGATCAGCTCATTGGTTTCTGTTATGGTGTTGGTAGGGATCGTTCTCAATGCTGCATTCACATTCTCAATGAGACTTTCAGATGGTACTTCACTCAGCCGTTGTAATTGGCGCCGGGGAGGCCTGGTTGTCATTCGGGTCATGATTCTCTCTCTCAGGTCAGCAGCTGTCTCGTTCAGCTCTGTTTCGCTCATTGGGGCCGTGTATCCCCTCACTGGGTGGGGACTTGTAGTTAAGTCCCCACAGTCCTGATCCGGGTTCCTCCCTTTTGCCGTAGCATTTGTGTTGTATCTCGTCAATCTCAAGTTGTGATAGCAGTTGCCGTTTGCGGATGTTGGAACACTGAGCTACTAGTTGTTTAGCGCTTAGTGTTGACTGGGGATGTCGAAGTAACCATTCCTTCCCCAGTCTTGCATGTAACCCCTCTGACTAGGGTTACTTGAGTAGTAGCATTCCAACAGATCCACATTTTCATCTCTCGCCCATTTCCGTCTTGTTCCAGTAGCCCATTTGTCATCAAGGTGCTCTGGTTCCCCAACACCTGACGCAGACCTTGTTTGGCCGGGCGACGTCTGAGCCGGCATGTTATGCAACTTAGTATCTCTCATGGTATGAGGTAGGCAGTAGCTTGAAGGGTCTTGCCTAAGGACCCAGACTGGATTCGAACCCTGCCCTCTCGGGTGATATACTGATGCCTTATGTATTGAGCTATCCAGTCAGCTTGGGTCTGTGAGCAGGAATGTAATATATATATATATATATATATATATATATATATATATATATATATATATATATATATATATATATATATATATATATATATATATATATATTGGCTTGCATTACGTGGCACAGATTTCGCTCATGAAAAGGGAGGGCTTTCTTTAACCTGAGCTGCACTCATACACACTCATTCAACTATGAACACGGGGGAAAGACTGTGAGGGGAAAGAACCACACAGTTATTTCTGTATTTTCTTGTTAAAATCTCAGTTTTTGCTGTGGGTCTTTCATTAACAGGACTTTCACACCGATATTTAAATTTTGCTCTTCTTTCTAAGCTGAAACTCGGTGTAAGAATAAGCTGTGGTTTCATAAAACATAGCAGAAGGTTGGTGAAATCATTGCCTTCATTTTGGATTAATCTGTGGATCTTACAAGTTCTGCACTTATGGTTTTTTTTCTTTTAAAACGTCTATTTGAGCCAACACTATTGAAACACATTCCAGTGGGCCGCCATGCCTGTCTTCCTCAAATTAGCTCATAAACGTCTTACACTGACACGGTGAGTTGAAAAAAAAAACCCGTAACTTTTCAGATTTCTTCAGTTTTTCAAATTTTTCCCTCTGATTTTAATGTTTCAGCTCATTAAAACATATTGTGATTTTTTCCCCCCAAACAAGTCTGACCTGACGCGGAAAATATAACGGCCCCCTAAACCGATGAACTTATTGGGTTGCGTCAACCTCCGATCCATCAGTACGGGTTTGTTATTACTGGATTTGACTTTGACTAGGCCACTTTTCTGTTTCTTTAATGCTGTGCATAAAAACAAAAGCCCACTTTCGTAATTCCACTAAATATTTTCACAAAAGGTCTTGGAGATCATCGAGGTGTTTTGTGGTAAATGCCTTTTACTGTATGTTCAGAAGTGGTTTTGACCTTGAAACTCACCCGGTCTCCTGTTTTCTTTTTCTTTTCTTTTCTTTTTTTTTTATGAATTATGAAGCCGTAATTGCCTCTGATGTTCTTCCGGGTTCTTCAGAGTTCTGGCGTAATCACGGACTGACCGGCCACTCCTTTCCAACATTCACCGCCGTCCTGTCATTTTTCTGCTTGCTGATAATGGCTCTCACTGTGGTTGACTGGAATCACAACGCCTCGGAAAATGGATTTGTAACGATGTCAGCAAGTCGGTTTCTCATCTGCTCATGAATCTCTATAGATCTGCGCCTACTTCGTGTTGTCAGGCGGATTCTAGGGGACTTTTTAATTGTACGAAAAAAAAGATAATAATCTCATTCGTTATTGAGCAAGTTCAATTCTAACACAGGACCAGAGTGACTGTTTGTAGTTTCACTCGCTCTATGTCCATCTGATGATAATTGAAGTGTGACGAAATAAAGCAAACATCGAAGAAACCTGTAAAAGGCAGCAAATATGTATGCACATGCATATGTTTTACAACACTGTGTGGGTAGCAGGTGACTTTACCTTTATCCTACAGAAACTGGCCTCGATCTTCAGCTGCTCCACCAGCTTCCTGGCTTGGCCGACACTCATGGTGCTGTTCACTGGGGTGTCTCCTTTCATCCTGGCCACAGAAACAGCAACATTTGTGGTTTGGCTCCAAACATTAGTCTTGTTAGCGCCCCGCCGCTTGCTTTCGAGCCAAACACACAGTGATGCACGATTATGTATGCCGACGATATCTCACCGAAAGAGACAATAGCGCTAAATGGCTCTGGTTGCAAAGCGAGCTTCGACCCTGACTGCCGCTTCTCAAGAAGTATGAATATCTGACGGTGCCGTGTCGCAACCTCGTCGCAGCTGATTTGTTCTGTCATTTTACACAGTGGCTAAAGGCAAGCGTCTTTCTTTGATGAGGCAAAAGGGGCATAAAGTGGGCCAAGTGGGCAAGACTAGTTCGACATGGCCCACTCTCTCCTCTCCCACCAGTCTGTGCAGGAATAGCCGTAGAGGGATGAAATGCTAGGAGCAGATGACTGAAGCCAGGAAAACAAGTACGAGACGAGGACTTTGTACGGAATAAAAAACAGATCAAGTCAGACGGGTTATGAACAGGGAACAGAAAAATAATAATAATAAAGCAGCGGAGAGAAAAGAGCGAATCTGCTTCTTTTATTCTGGACCTTTCCTCATTGTCTTCTCCCCTTCTCCTTCCAACCATCCCCCCCATTTTTTTTCTCCTTACCCGTATGATATTCCTCTTCAGGTGCAGTCTTCCCCCCTCTTCTCTCTCTCTTTCTCTCTCTCTTTATGTTCGACCGTCTTTTTCCGCCTCTCCGTGTCCTTCCCTCTTGCGAGCTTCTGTTCTTTGGCGGTATCGGTGCAGCCGAACCCCACCCCTCACAGACGACCAGCCTTGGATGGCACCCTACTGTGTGCAGTCCAGTGCACTGCGATTCTGCCACAGTGAGCACTAGATTCGTGGTGGACGGATGGATGGGATCACCCCCCACTCTCTCCTCTCCACCCTTCAGCCGTGAATGGTAGCTACCAGACGGAGGGAGGTGTTGGTGGGGTGAGGGGTGGTGCCACCAGTGGTGGTTCTCCTATGTGGGTGGACTGCACCATATCTGTGTGCCGGATTCTCTCAGATTATAATAATAAATAAAATTCAGAGGTGACTATATTTTTTTTATTTGCTCTTTTTTTTATTTTACAAGATAAATGATTGTATGAAATGAGCCTCCCCAGCCCTCTCCACAGACCTGGTGGGTATTGTGTTCCTGAGAGATGTGTGATGCCCACCCTCTCCTCCGTTGCCATGGGGACTGCTGCTGTCTGGTCCAGCGGCTCGCGATCACGTTAAAGACTCGTAGGTTTTCACCGTTCAGTAAATTAGCCGCATCTGGGAATGAAATCACATATGTGTATATATTTGTCTTTTGGCGTGTCAGGGTGAGTGGAACTGGGACGGCAGAGCGGCTGTGTGTTTTCAGGACGCTCTCGGACCAAACACCCTGTAGAGCAAAGATGTCCACCCGGCGCACGTCGACACGCGTCGCCTCTTTTGTTGACGTTAAACGAATGTATTTGAATGCGTCTGGACCAGACTGTTCAATGAGGAACTCGCCGTGAATTTCACACAACAGCAGAGCAAATAGGGAAAGCTCGGGAGACGAAAATGCGACCTTACTTCCCTTCCGAAAAAAAATGTCCGACGCCATCTTTGATTCCTCCTTTTTTTTTTTTTTCAATGGCGCAGTGCTCCCGACCTGCACTCCGGTTTTCCGGCGGAGGGATATCTCCTCCTCCTCCTTCTCCTTCTCCTTCTCCCTTATTTTTTTATCGTCTCTGTGTTCCGTTTGCTTTTTGGTACCTGTCGTAAATCGTCAGTGGCGTAATGGGGAAAGGTGTAGTCAACTCAATACAGGCTGCAGTGTCAAAAGATGCTGTAGCTTAGACTTTTAGCCGCTTTTGTTACGTCACATTCGCGACGTGTAGCACCTTCCTAAAAACAGATGGACCAACAGAGAGCAGCTCAGAAATAAGTGGAAGGAAGTAGATACACTGTTTACAAATAAATGTCATAAATATTTCAATTTCATTTTGTATTCATTTTACTTTGACAGCATAGAATAAATATGGTGTAACAAATCATTATATGAGAAAATATGATGATACAGTAGTTCTTATGTTTTTTTTTTTTAGTTCCATCATTAAATTTAGAATCGATCACGTTTCAAATACAACTCTAAACACACGGATGATTTTATTTGAGGAATTGGAGCATTTTATCTCATTACTCCCCTTGTTGCTGGAGAACTTAAAGCAGAACAGAGCAGAGGGTATCAGTGGATGTGGATGGCTGCAGCTGTAGGACTCCATCTGCTGGCAGCCTTGAATGACTCCTGTGCATAATCCCCAGAAACGAGCTAGAAATCCATCCATCAGCTGAGGCGGACGCATGTGCTCCCTGGTTTTTGCTAAGGTGATTAATTATGTTTTTTTTATTGTTATTCTATCATTATTGGGAGTAGCAGATTAAGGGAAAGCAGAAATGAAAACCTTAAAGAGAACCAAAGTGATTTCCAGTTCTTTCTGAAGTGGATATTTCCTTTTCTAGGCTTTATTATGTTATGGTGGAATACAGTCATTTCTTCAGGCATGTACACGTTACTGGCATACCACACTCGGCTGTACTTCTCACTCTGTGCGTTTATCCGAGCCACTTAATGTGCCCTGTGAGAATTAAACACTTAATTAACATATCCTAATTAAGTTACACTTAATTACTGCAGCAGCACACGGGGACCTTTGAGTCCGGAGACACTTACGACTGAGAAATCTGGATTCACTGAACATCGATTTCATGCACTTTACTCAGAAAATCAACTTCAGCCTGTTGAACAAGTAGAATGAGAGTCAGGAGAATCTGACGATCATGCAGAACTCGTGTGCAAATATGTCAGACATATACGCTTAACAGGTGAGCTGTTGTTACAGCCCTCCAGAGCTCAGCGCAATCTATAACAAAACCTGCAGAATGTGCCTCTTACAAGTCTGAAGTTTTTGATTTTCAACGTACCGAACGGCTGTCTCTGCCTTGTCGACTGCTATGACGGCAAAAGGTTTTCATTTGAACCCCTTTGGGGAATCGATTCTGTGACTGGACTCAGACACCTCGAGGCTGAACGTGTTTCGAGATGAACAGTGGTTGTAATTGGGAAGGTTGGTGAATTATCAGTGTCGGAGCAAAATTACACATTATGAGACTGGATATTTGTGCATCGTCCAACTTGACATAGGCTGACCTGTTAGACACAGGAACTGTAATGGCCACCTAGTCATGTGCTATATACCATCATGCACCAATGGCTGATGAGCTCTCATTAACTATTTCCATGTAGATGTATCTGATTTTTATGTCAGATTTACCTAACAATACCCAGCTACAAGGCCCTGAAAATGATGGTGAAAGCTGTAAATATAAATATTTTAAAGTAGTAATTCCCAGAGGCAATTACTAAGGCATTATGAGTTAAGTGGCTGATAAGAGTCTTCACACCACCAGGGGGCCCCCAAGCAATCTAGCATAACAAAATATTATCTATCTATCTATCTATCTATCTATCTATCTATCTATCTATCTATCTATCTATCTATCTATCTATCTATCTATCTATCTATCTATCTATCTATCTATCTATCTATCTATCTATCTGTCTGTCTGTCTGTCTGTCTGTCTGTCTGTCTGTCTGTCTGTCTGTCTGTCTGTCTGTCTGTCTGTCTGTCTGTCTGTCTGTCTGTCTGTCTGTCTGTCTGTCTGTCTGTCTGTCTATCTATTTATCTTTAGGGAAATGTAAGATATTACATTTGTTGACTATAACTTTTGTGTATATCAGTTGATGTCACTTTCAAAGGATTAAAATAATATGGTACAGTTAAAAACCACTACATTTCAAAAAGCCAAACCTTTTTTTTTTTTTTTTTTTTTGGTTTGTTGCTCTTGTTAAGTTTAAAAGGAACAGCAATAATACCACTGACATAATGTAAGCTAATTACAAATAATGCTAATTATTTATTTGTGATAGCCACACATAGAGGAGCTTAGAAATGTTAAAGAATCTGGTATTGACGTGTTGGTATTGGGGCACCAAAAAGCCTTGGGCCGGCCCTGTTCATAAATGAAATGAATTTTTTTCTTTTTTTTTCTTTTAAAGTGTCACACGCTGAACCAGACGCTGAACGCCATGTTCTCTCTCTGAAAAAAAAATGCTCCGTTTGACAACTTTTTGAAGAATTTGAACGAATATGACTTACTTATGCCAACATTTAGTTTCACTTTGGGAGCAATAAAGATTTTTTTTTTCTTATTTGAATTGAAGTGACGTGTTACTTTCCCTCCACTCAAAGTGCTCAGCACAAAGACCAAACAAGTTCATTTTGGTGTCAGTGCAGATCTCCTTCCCCCTACGCGTCTTGTGGCAAACTGCAAAAAGATCTGTTTGTGAATTTCTATCAAAATATGCGTTTTATTTGGTTATGTTTTACCACACTCTGGATGCAAATGCTACTTATGAGAATTCTACATGTACAAAAAGAAAACGTCTGAAAAAGCAAGTCTCAGTTTTCTTCTTCCTCTTGGCAATAGGCTAATTCATGTGCTTGTTGTGCTCGTCTATCACATAAGAGCCTAATAGAGTAGAGAAGGTCATGGTTGTAATGTGAAAAAGCCTAGTGTTTGTGAATACTTTCACAAGGCTCAGTAAGTGTGAACTCAATGCGAAAACAATGGCCTACTTAAAGGATCGTCTTGATTTTTATTATTTGGTTAATTTGAATTAATTTTCACTCATTCTGAGGATGGTTGTTTCCTCCTGTTGATTCTCTCCACCGTCACTCTGTGTTTGCTCAGTACTCAAATTGCACTCAAGTGAATTTTCAGTGTCAGATTTTATTTTAATTTTTGAAAATCCAAACAAGTGGAGTGTCGATTTTTTTTTGACATCACGCCAAGCTGAACGATGCGTCACTATCCCGCCTCGGCTCAAAAGCGTCAAAGCCTAAAACCGGCATTTTAAACACCGCCAGCGGTCGCAGGCAGCAGAGTCGGTGCAGCAGGGCTCGCCTGAGGGAGGAAGTTACATCAGGCGGATGCTGAGCTCGTTTCAACCTCTCTGCCGCTCCGATCGATCGGCCCTGCGGCTGCAGCAGCACGCTGCCGTCAATCGCAAACCGTTCTGACGTAACGATGATGAGCGAAGCAGGCGATCATTGGACTCATCGGCCGCAATCGTCCATTTGCACCGACAGAAACATGAAGACTCGATACTTTCCAAGTAGGCACGACCCGCTTCATGCAGGATGGTGTGTTGATGGAGGCAGCCTGTCACTGAAAGAGGAGCTCTCAGTGAAGTAACACACTTCATGCCAGGAGATCAGGACCTCAAACATCTTCTATTTGACGTTGCGTGCGCAAGCCGTATTGCAGATTTTATGTGATTGAACGATTAGGGTTGTGCATTAAGCAGAAGGACCCTAAAAATTGTGCCTTGTTTTTGTATTTTGGCGTCCTTTAACCTGATGTCTCTAAACAAAATCAACCAGAGTTGACAGAAAGGTGTTTAAAGTCCACTTGGATCACTGTTGGTCAGCTACTGAACTTCTAACATGCGAAGCTCCTCTATATGGAGCTAAATTGGGGCCATATAAAGTTTGCTTAAAAAAAAAAAAGTTTATTTTTGGAACAAAATAAAAAAAAAATCCTGGAATGTGTAATTTTGAACTTTTTGTTCAAAACTACTTTATTGTTTTTCAGTTAGAAAATGTTTTAGTTTCTAAAATTTTTTTCAGCAGACTTATGTTTCCCAATTTTTATGTGTAATTGTGTTCATAGTACATAATTTTTGTTTTTGTTGCCGTTTTTGCTGTACAGCATTCTGGACAGCTCTTGTTTCAAAAAGTGCTTCATGAATAAATTGACACCGACATTAACGGGACTTATTCCTTCCATCAAAATCGGCGTTTTGGAGCAATGCTCAATATTTCGATCCTCTCTTAGATCAAGGTAGAAATTCTTGTCAAGTGCATCTAAACAAATCGATAAACATCAAATCAATGAACAGATGGGACGCCACAGCACACACACATACATCTGCATCTTTATTATCCTTTGCAACACGTCATACAAATCTTCTCAAAAATCTCAGAATCCGCATGAATGGCTCAACAGTATTTGAATGCCTACATATGAAAACAAAATGAATTGTATTAAAAAATCTAAATAATCGTGTCACATGTTGGGCTTAGCGAGGAGATTCGGTCATAAATCCGTCACCGGTGAAAGAGAATATTGGCCAGAATCTCTCGTGCTGCAGGAAAGAAAGCAACACAACAGCTACACTTTGCTTTCTTTTCTATAATACTCGCAGAGGAAGACGGCTACAGATCCCGCGTTTGTGCATTTCAAGCTGGAAAACGTCAGCGGCAGCACATGGATTCCAACTGGAACAAATCAAGCAGGACTCCCCGTCACCGGCCCGTCTGCTTAAACGTGACCAACGTACTCACAGTTTTGATATAGCAGCATCGTGTTTGTCACAGTGCCCCTCAGAAGGATTATGAAGAGTATAGTAGTCGGTACACGGAGGTAAAAAAAAAAATTGCCTAAATACAAGGACCAGATGCTACAATATGAAAACTATTACAATTGGTTAAAGAGGAAAAACAGTCCATTAAGAAAAAAAGGGGCAGGAGGAGGAGGCAGCGCTAGTTTACATGAGTTTCTGGGTCTCTGGTTGGAGGCGGGATGGAGAAACAGCACAGCGTTACTATGATGACGTCGTGCCTGAAGAGTTCTTGCCCCCCCCCATGAGGATGGAGGAAGGGTGGTGCTCTACTTTGATTTCTCTTTGTCAGCTGAACCATAAATAACTTCAAATTCAGAATTTGGTACAGAAAATCATTCCACAATGTTTGAAAGTAAGCTTCCGAAACAGGAATAACTTGGGATATACAACGTTCCCAGATGCAGAGCAAGAAATAACCCAATTTTTTTGTGTGTGTGTGTCCAAGAGAAACAAACAGAAAATCTGAACACACAAATAGACACTTGCGTGCGCACGCACACGCGCAGAACAAGAGGCCCTTCAGTTCCCGTAAATGAAAGAATTTCCTCCAGAGAGTCGCTCTTGAGGTCAGCAAAGACCCCGCTGCGCAGCATATTCACACAGTGTGACGTTAAAGTAATCGCTTCGGCAGCCATTTTGCATATAGAGTTCATACAAAAATCTGGTAGCGACAGCAAGCGAGCGAGTGAGCCGCCTGCATCTCCCTCTCTCTCTCTGTCTTTTTTTTCTCTTTTCAAGGTGAGCTGAGCTGCAGAGACGGGAGGAGTGGTCTGGCTGACGTTTCTCCAGCTGAAAGAAGGCGAGAAAAGAAAAAGAGAAAAAGAAATCACCGAAACACGAGAGCGCCATGTTGACCCTCGTTCGCCAACGTCCAAACTGTCAGGGCAGAGTTGGAGGGAGTCATTCTGTCCATGCAGACCTTCATGTTTTACAAAAAAAAAAGTACATGTATTGTAAAAAAAAAAAAAAAAAAAAAAAGGAAGAAAAGAAATGTGGCTGTAGAAAAATATAAGAACTATAACAAAGTCGATCAGTCAGAAAATAAATCCACCAAGTAAAAGTCTGGATTTTTTTCACCCAGCTTCCACAGCAGCTGTGGACCAGTTCACACAAACTAAAGGCATTTTGGTTTTCTTCAGACAACCGGAGCCAGACCTTCTGTTAATCACAGCTCAAGAAAGAAAAGGGCCAACTGCAGTCAAGAGTTGAACACTTGAGAAAAGCAGAGGACTCTGGTGTGCTACTGCTTCTTGATCTGTCACATACACACGCTTTGCTACCATTTGGACTTTCAAGTCATTTGCGAAGAAACACGTCAAAAATCTGCATACCTGGCCCGCCGCCGCCGCCAACAAAAACAAAAGCTGCAGTGTCTGGGTTAGTCAGGTGGAGCATCAATAACTGAGTTCACTTCCAGGGAAAGTTTGGACCATTGGATGATGCCAAATTACAATGCCTTGCAAGTATTCATACCTTACATTTGATACATTTTATTGGATGGATTATTGGAAGAAGCATTTTGTAAGTACTTCTTTCGTTTTTAGGAAGTGTTTTTTGGATCTCCTAATTAGGGACCAGTAATGATTTCATCATCATCTGGACGAAAACAGGCTGTCTTGGACATGTAGTGGCAAAAAACACTAAAATGTTGGGATTGCTAAACTTTACTTGAGCTTTATTGGGCACAACTGAAGTGCCACACATCCATCAGAAATTATAGAGAAAGAAAAAAAATAATGACTCGCCACCAGTTGCACTGACAGCAGAATTTATGTTAAAGTCTCCTAAACCTGTTCCCCCCATTAAAATAAATGTTTTCAAATTAAAGGTTGGGTTTTTCTAAATGTTTCAATGTGAAACTATGCTACTGCAGTAAAAACAAATTGATCTGAAGACTTTTTAAACATCTTCAACGACACTGTGCTACTTCAAATGAGTGAGTAAATATGATGTCACAAACTGCAGTAGGGCAATTTTTATTTTTTTTTAATTTCGAAACAATTTTATGACCTAAAAAGCTTTGCAGGACCTTAATGTCGCCCATGTGCTCTGTTGATTTCTAGAAAAAACTGCAGGTGTGTTTCATGCTACATATTGAACTAAGCAGGAATCTCAGAAATACAACATAGAAAGAAAAAAAAAATTGAGATTTAAAAGAACACTGCCACAGCAGGAACCATGCTGTCTATTCAGCTGTTTGCTAGGAAATGCTAATGTAGTGGAATAAATGCATTTATTGTAAAACCTGCATTTCTAAATGTTTGCATTGACAATGCATGTTAATGCATCATTTAAACTGGAGTCCGCAAGATTTAACTTCTGAAAAGGCAAAAAAAAAAAAACCCCTAAAACAATAATGAAGTTAATGATTTAAAAACAGTAACTGAGCTTCTACCTCATCTTTCTGATAAACGAATGGACAGTAAAGTGCATTGCGCTGCTACATGTGGTGGAAAGTAGTAAAGAACTGTTGCAGATGAATGATTAACAATGAACCGTTTCCATGTTGCATTCAGGTTCTGCATGTATTTTTGATTTCGGGCAAGGAAGTCGCTCTTCCTGCATGAACGCTGACTGTAAACAGGAACAAAAGGGAAGAGGTATTAGATTTTAAAAAAAGATATCTGAATTATGTCAGAGCTGTACAAAATATTGGCACGTTGTCTTATAAACAGTACGCTGGATGGGGATCAAATTGTCTAACAAACAAATGAACCGTCCAGTCCTCTGTCTCATGTTTCACAGTATTGAAAGTGCACTATTTGCCAAACCCACTAAGATTCTCCGGTATTCTCTCTCGACCTGCCGCTCTGAAAATGTGCTGCACTCTTTTTCCTTCTAACATCCGTTTAATGCTAGCCAGTCCCGACCCTTAACTCCCCCCTTCAAACCTGCGTCTCCACACCATTTAGTTTAGGCATCAAGATCCGAGGAGTCACCCCAGAGTTGAGGTCCCTCTCAAACTCCAAGAGCTGACCCATGAAGTTCAGGTTGGGCGAAACCACGGGCCGACGGCTCCGGACGTACTTGTAGGCGTCCGTCATCGTCATGAGGGTGTGCTTCATAAGGTAGGCAATGACGATGGTTGCAGAACGAGACACACCTGCCTGGCAGTGAACCAACACACCCTGTCCACTCTGATATGCCTCCTCTGGGGATGAGAACAATCAGTCGTTTAGTATGCAACTTTTTTTCCACTGTAATTTTGACGTTAGAGTAGAAATATTACAAGAATACAGAACATCTCTTTGCTTATAAGTGGTGTATTTTGGTGTATGAAACCACAAACGCACACGGCTCTTTGTCCGGGCGCCTCCAGGTTTTGTAAAGACAGATCAGCTGGACCTTACAGCAGCCTTTGCTTTACCCTCGTCTCGCCTACGAGACTATGCTGGCATCCATGGCTCGGTCTTGAAGCGCTTTACCTCTTACCCGATTTAGAAAATCTTTGCTGTCATGCCAATTCGTTCCCCCTCTTTATCTTCTTCTCTTTTGTGTGGGGTGCCACAAGGTTCTATGTTAGAACTTCAGCTTTTTTTTCTTACACATGGATCAATCATAACCCAGCACAATGTTAAATTTCCTTGTCATGCAGATGATTTGCAGCTTTATTTACCATCAAGACCAGAGTTAAATAATCCGCAACATCCTCAAACAAAAAACAAAACTGAGTTTATCTGGTGACAAAACTGCTACTGGAGATCTGACTACTAAATTAATTTACTGCTTTCTTTTATCCAACATTTTATTTATTGTTCTGGGAACTGTGTTAAATGACTTGAAGATAAAAGTCTTCACAGTTTGTGTCCAGCATGTGTGGGATCACCAGAGATGTTCCCTGTTAATTCTTGAAAACAGTACTATAATGGAAATGTAGAAAGCATTATTATAGAAAAAGGGAAAACTCTGAAAACAGAAATGATCATTTATTTAACCCTAACTAACTACAATGAGAGTCAAAATGTCCTAGTTCATTTTTACTTAACTGGTTGCTGAAAACTGTTAGCACATCTTTACATAAATGCTAGCAGACCTGCAAATTATCTAATTCCTCAACCCAAAACACAACACTTACCCCACATACACACGAACACGAACAACAAGACATTAATATCATAGAAGTTGAATTCTCACCAATAAACTCAAACACCTCCTCGAAGTACTGGCGAAGGTTTTGCTTGCTGTTGTCAGTGGCTGGGAGCCTTTTGTAGCGCAGTCCCGCGGTGGTGTGGTAGAGGGGCAGGTGTGTGGTCACATTTACCACATAGCCAATGTTGAGGCGTAGCAGCAGGTCCAGGTCCTGGGCATCTCTCTCGTTCCCCAGGAACAGGAAGGGCAGGATTGGGCTGATGACGGCATTCTCCGCATCGGGAGTCATCACAGTTTCATCGGACAGGGAAGCAGGCAACGATGAGGAGAGTGGCAAAGACAGCCTCACTGGGGAATGACAAGGAAAGTGTGGACATGCGTTGGCATTTCGAGAGTGGCCGTAAGACTCAAATTCAAACAAAGGATATTGACTTCTGCTCAGTGCTAAAAAAAGAACGTCATGCTAGCAACACGAACATTATGTAGCTACTTTGAAATTTGTTTTAATGCTCTCAAATGTAACTGTCAGGACACATGACAAGACATTATTTACAGTTTCCATTATTATAAATATTCCAAAAATGTCCTCAATGTAGGGTTAGCTTATGGCTGGTGTTTAGACTTCAGACTACCAGATTTTTGTGTATGTACTTTCAGCATTAATAAACAGACATGACCTGCTCTACTCGGCTGGCCCGTAATTTAGTCTTACTTCGGTTGTTCTCCTCATCTTGCTCTCTGTTAAGGGAGTTCAGGGCCAGGTGAAGGGACTGAGCCGACGGCAGAGAGTGTCCTCCCTCCCTTTCTCTTTGCCAGGGTTTGGGTTTGATGAGTGTGCTGGGGGCTGAAGGAGGAGGGGAAAAGGACACAGGTGATGGTGGAGACACAGAGCGGGGAGAGGGCGACCGTGGATAAGCTTGGCCGTGCTCAGGACTGTCGCTCATTCCAACATCTTCTCCTTTATTCAGGAGCCTCTTCAACGAGTTACGGCCATCGTCGTAGTTAGATCCCAACCTGCTGCCTACAAAACCAAGGGCAGCCATTTTGCCTTGCTGAAGCCGTCGTCGGCCGGCATGGTCTGTGAAATTAGTCTCAGTGTATTCCTGAAGATTCTGACAGTCCAAGAGGGCAAGGCCGGGTACGTTACTGCCATTCTGGGTCTGGCTAGAAGAGCTTTTCCCAACACCCATCCCAGCATAGTTGTTCTTTTGGGCTTTAGAATGGGTCATTTTCTTGGCCAGTTCCTCAGGCCAGATGGTGCGCACGCTGTAGTCATCATCGTCAGCTTGTAGCATAGCCATTGGATGAGTTGGTCCTAAGCTTCTTCCAGGAGGTTTTCCCCGGCGAGGGTTGAACGTCACCACTATCGGGTCGCTGCTGCAGTAGCTGCAGGAAGAACTGCCAGTCTGAGATGCTTTGTTGTTGCAACCAGACACGCAGCTTTGGATCGCCCGCAGAGGGGTTGAAGACGACAGAGAAGTACAGGGAAGGCATCCTCCTACTAGCTTCTTCCGAAGGATAGCAGGACTCTCAAAGTTTCCAGCTTCTCCGCCACAGGAGGCACAAGGTAAAGGTTTGAACAGAGCTGCTCGACAATCAGAAGCAGTGCTGTTAGATGAGGAAGTGTTAGATGTGGAAGCTGTGGAGAGACAGCCACCCAGATTCTTCAGGCCCATGTCTTTACTTCCTCTCTTCACTGCGCCGACATTATGGCCACAGGAAAATGAGGTAGAAGTGCTTCCTCCACCTCCTTGGTAACTGGAAGAGTCTCCTTTACATCCTGTGCATCTTACCAACCTCCAGCAGCCACAGTTGAATGGGTGCGCACAGTCAATGGTACAAGTGTGGTCTGGACTAGGGAACCCTCCGACACGGGAGGAGCAAGGGGACAGCGGAAGACCATGAAGAATGTGAGGGCGGTGATCCCTTGTGCGAGGAGGGTGATATTGGTTAAGCTGCTGAAAGGACACTGGGACATGAGTTGTTTGGGATGGGGGAGACGAAGGATAGGTGGAGTTTAGGATGGCAGCATGGGGAACAGGAACAGAGTGGTGGTGGAAGGGCAGACTGTGGCTATTATGGCTTTGATGAACAGTTCCCAGCTTGGAACTTTTCCTGTGACCCAAAGAGGGAAATTCCTGGTCACCTCTGTAATGAAAACTGGAGTTTTCTTTCTCCTTTTCACCCCTGAATGTATGCTGGTTTGCCTGAGCAGGGACAAACTGGAGGATCCCTCCAGGGGACGATGACAGCTGACGGACTTGTTGTGGCTTATGCTCGAATCCACAGGGCCTCCCAAAGCTTCCGGTTTTTCTCTCACATTGTCCTTGATCAAACTGGGAAGAGACGCATTTCCCTTTGCCACCTTTTACACTTCCAGCACGCCCTAACGAGTTACTTAATCCTCCCCGTCTCCCTTTGTCCACCGATACCTTGATATCAATAGTATGTGTGTGGGAGGGAAGCCGTGGGGCGAGTGTTACTGTGCCATTGCTATGGCAGTGGCTCGGGATGTGAAGGACATCTGCTGGGATGACAGGCTGGTCGCCCTTGAATCTCTGCACCCGGGATGACCTGCGCTTGCATTCCACACTCACAGGTTTGCACGCGGGTGAGTAAAAATGGGAATGAGACGCGTGGAGATGCGAAGGCTGGGAAACCCGTCCATTGCTGGAGGTTGATATTTGAGAGGAATGCTGTGGGATGGTTTGTGGGGAAGCCTCGCACACGTTTTTGGGGCGCTGAATGACCACTATGCGCTCGTCAAGAGGAAGGGGAGGCATCTGGGTTTATGCAAAGCTGACAAAAGAGAGAGAAGAAAGACAGAATCAAATCATTCAAGTCAGTATATTGGAATTATTGCAAAGGCACTTTACATTTCACTAGTTGTAGCAAAGCCCCCAAAACTGCTGTCATACATTTTTATACCTTAAAATGTGGAGTTATTTATTAAAAATAAATAATACATTTGACTTTGAAATCTAACAAATATATGATTGATACCCTTACAAGCTTCTAAAATTTTAAAATGCTACAACCACAAACATTGTATTTTAGATGGATTTTATAAAAACAAGACCAACACAAACTTGTGAAAATTTTCAAAGTGGAGGAAAAGTAATATGCCAAATTTAGAAACCAAGGTTCTCCCCGGCCCCATTTTATATTTTTTTTATTAAAGTAAGTCAAGCTTTTATCGCTTTTGAGCAGAAAGAAGTCTTGCCACACATTGTTGATTTAGGCCAAGACTTTGACTAGGTCATTATAAGGAATTATTATGATTTGATCTAAACCATTAGCTGAAGTCATATTATTAATTAAATGACACAAGCTGAACTTTTGGAGTATCAAAGTAGATGGTGGAAAATAAAAATCATGACCATACTTTCCAGATTTTTCATGAAGACGTGAAAAAAAAAAAAAAATCATGTTTAATTTTTGTTCCACTTCACAATTATGCACAACACTGTGTTGGCCTGTGACATCAAGTACAATACATATTGTTTGTGGTTGTAATGTGAAAAAATGTGAAAGACCTTAAGGACATTTTGCAAGGCACCATTAACTCTTAAAATTGGTGACACATATTCACAACAAATTCATACGTTTTGCAAGTCACTTGCAGTTTGTTTGCACAGCAACACATAACTGTTCAAATAAACAAATAAACAACAAAAGGACAAACCACCCAACAAAAACAGGTTCATTTCAAGTGCATGTTTGACTGGGATGGATATTACTGTTCATGTATCCATTCAAACATGCAGCTCCCAGTCAGGTCCTGCTTATACCATGGACAATGATGCTTGTCTGTAATTACAGTTTAAATTGTTCCCCTTGTCATATCCGAAGGTGCTAACCTGTTTGCTGTTGGCAATGCATAATCCCAGCTAATCCCGATGGCACTCAGGGTTCTTAACAGCTAAATCCCAAAAGCTGTGATAAATGAGCTGCAACAACCTTCATCCCCTCTGAGGGGTCCACATTCTTAACAAGACGCACTCATTTGAAATAATCAGCCAAGTCGTAGCTCATGGGGAAAAAAATAGCTAAAGTACTGCAATGCAGTGGCTTTCAAAATGTTAAAAGAACTGGTTTTTGTGACGCTAAACGTTTTCCACATACAATGCACCATTTGTTCTTTACATTTCAGATGTGAATACTTGATCCAACTCAACCAAAGAATGGCTTTACAGGAAGATGGTTCAATGAAATCTGACTAAATATGTGGGGGTCACCTGAAGAAAGCTGTGATGTCCTCACAATCTGACTCTAATCCTAATCTGATTTGGAGAACCTTTGCGAGGCAGAGTTGGCAAAATATTGTGCAGTCCAGATATGGGGTTACTGGAAAAACTCACTGAAATCAAATCAAAAGGTGCATCAACAAACCTTTTGTTTAAGGTCGGGCACACTACTTATTTTATCATGCCATTTTATTTTATAATTCAAGAAAATGTCTTTGTTCTTCACTTAATTTGTAAAGAAAAAAATGTCTTTTATGTATAATTTATTACAATGTTATTTTTCTGATGCCACAAAAACCTGGTAAAGCAAATACTATTGAGAACCACCGTATATTGGCAAACCTTTCATGTTAAATATGTCGAAATGCCTTTTTTGAGATGTTTAACCAAAAGTTTTGCTATTGATGGAATAATTAAATAAGTACAAGCTACAGCTTGTCAGCTTGTGTAACTTGAAGCAAATAAAAAAAAAAAATCAATTTGCATTTGTTGTTTCTGGTCTGCATTGTGAAAGGAAAACAAGAAAGTGACTCATGTCTAGTAGCTTAGAGCATTTCTTTTCTTCAGAGGCTACTGGAGAGTCTTGTGATCATCTGAAATGAAAAACTTCCAGCCTCTATTTATCGTATTTGTTCAGCCTGCCTTTGCTACAAACAGAACAAACCAGCTAATTTCTCTTTGCCTGCCAGAAACAAGCATTTGTCCATGCCGCGGAATAAACAGGGAACCCACATACACAACAACACAGTGCAGTTAAGGAGTAATTTTTCATTTCATTTTATTGCCAGAAAAGATTATCCGAGAGTTTTTCATATGCAAAATACACAAGATAGCAGCTTAAATTGCTTCTGTGATTAATGCTACCTATAGCAAGTTGCTATACTTGTTACATTAGTTTGATATGAACAATTTTGCAGTGGCTGCTGTAAGACATTAGGATGAAATATTACTGCCATTAAAATGAAAATCCACCCTCTTCTTGATACGTTCACGGGTAATTATAATCAGCCTCCATTTTTGCTTGATGAAGTGCATTAATTTCCTCCAGCAACACGGCTCTGTGGGTGGCAGCGCTGGTCAGCAAGGATAATGTTAGCATGCTAAACTTAGCGTCAAGTTCAAGTTTGTGTTGGCTGAAAAGGATCACAGGTTTTCTCAAGGAACACAAACTCAACTATTACGTCTAAGGATTCCTCCATTGTGTCAAAATGTTCAGTCTTTATTGCTTAATGCAAGTAGATTAAATACGAGAACATTCTGCTCTAACTATATTTTCAGCTTTGCTAGTAAATAGTGCATGCTAATGGACCTCGAACTTTTCACTGACACCATTTGGATGGTTAGTTTGACACTAAGACACGTTCAGCAGCAAGTTGAGTCGAAAGTTATCTGGGAACATTTCTTTCTTAAAACTGGTTGCCAGTTTTAAAGGCGCTCATGTCTACACGGAGCCTTTTCCAGAAATGTTTTCTTCCACACGGAAACCCTACGAACAGCCCAAAACGCAGTTTTTAGGTGGCGCTAAACACGGAAAATTGGACGTGCGCATAAAGCCTCCACATGAGGTTAGTGGTAAAAACAAGAAAACTACAAAGTCGAACAATAAAGAACAAGTGGAGTCATTTGTGTTAAGTGACGACAAAGTCACTTTGAATTATTTACCTAAAAAAACTGCAAGACGAACATATTTCAACTACAATGGACTTAAGTAAACTTTACCCAACCCACAACCCCTCCCTCCCATGGAGTGGATTTTCATTTCAACCCAACCATAGTTTAAAAAAATAAGACTCTTTTGGGGAATAGAAGACCACTGGGAAGACCTGGAAGTGCACAACCCTGGCTGACAGTAACAAACGTGGGCAGAGATGAATTTACAGAGGGACAGATCATACTGATGCACCATAAACCACAGACTACAGGGAGAGGAAGGAACACGTCAGAACAATTGTGGGGACGGGAGTTCAACCCCAACACAACACAGTTACCAACCCATCGGGAAAGCAAAGCGCTCCAGTGTCTCCATGTTCAAGTCCTCGCGCAGTCTGGTGGTGGCATCCTCATCTCTTTTCCACCCCTCTCTTTCAGCCTTGCCTGTAGTGGAGGGGGGTTGGGGTTACATTGACCCAGTTTTATCATGGTGGAAGTCACTATCACTCTGATCACTTTCCCCTCACAAGCAGAGTGTGTGACAGAAAGAGCGGGCTGGCCACTGGCATTTTCACTCAACTACAGTTACAGCTTGGGCCAAACAGAAGTTAAAAATACTCGGCGCTAGTGTCGCTGGCTGATGTTCACACAGTATTTTACTGGGAAAAATACAGGAGGATGAGCAAAAGCATGAGCAAAAGCCAGTGCCAGGGGCAGCGGCGCAAGCGCTAGCGATTAGAGATCTGATTTGCCATTTCGTCTGACAGCGTGATTAGGTCAAGCATTCTGCCTGATTTGCTTAATAGGTCTAATCTCAAAACGGATGCTCTAAAATAAGATACATAACGTAAAAAAGTCATACTTTTCAATCAGTTTTAAATTCTTTGAGTGTTAAAACTTTAGAACCTAAAAAAAAATATTTAGTTGAATTCCCTATATATGGATTATTGAGAAATCTGAATGTATAGACTCGCTCAAAATAACAGATGAAGTTCTGTGATGGAAGGTAACACAATTTATGTCAATGTTTTTTTTATCCATCTCTATCAAAGATGTCAATACTTCTGGAGGGCATTGGCAGAACTTTGGCTGCTGTGCATATCAGGATCATCTCAACCTGAGTTGATATTAAAAATCAGAAAAAGAAAGAAAGAGAAGAAGAAAAGAAAAAGTACCAGAAGATATTGAAATGCATCTAAAATCTCTGATATAATTATGTTGATAGAAGAACTGAAATCCTTCCCCATTATATTGGGTCAGTTCTCGTACCTACAGTTGATTATTCTCTTTTTTGAGTAATATCACTTCACCAAGTCTTTTCTAACATCCCACTCCAAAAATGAATGATGACTTTTGCAGATATCGTATTGGGTCATTATCGGAATCGGCCGATAAGCAACACTGCAATATTGACATGAAAATACAATCCATACAACTGGTATTATTCCAGATTGTCCTGAATGTGTTAACGTCTGAATTCAGAGAAATGAGTGAAACTTACCGATTTGGTGAGTTTACAAACAAGCGTATCTTATTCAAAGCACAAAATAAAAAAAATAAAAAAAGATAGATTAATGCATCATTTCTATTTAGCGTTACACACATTCTTCAACTGGCTGCCGTGTCTTCAGGGTTTTCACTTCAAAACTGATGAAAAATCTTCCAATCTGAGCTAGAACAACATTTAATCTCCTGTCTCCTGTCTCTGCCTTGTTTTCTCTGGTCCCGGAGGCGAAATGCTTCGGGACCAAAATGATCTAAAACAGTCACTTTAGGAGGTTCATCAAACCTGTGTTTAATTAGCCTGGTTTATGTGGAAGCACTTCTGTTGGTTGATCCCAATTAGTCACAGAAGCTGACAAATGACCAAGTCCTGTTGCTCTGCACGCTTACATCCCTCCT